ACATTGTTCTTATGGGGAAGAAATCCAACATGGCTTCCACTACGGAAGACTCTTAACTACTGCAAAAAGCCGCAATTCATCAGCAAGAGTCAAAGATTGGTAGGCTATATGTTTAGTTTTGCTTTCATGACAAAAATTTTTGCTTTAAGTTGTAACAAGATAAACATTGTCTAAAACTCGATAATGAAAAATTAATAAAAGTGCCCTTAACGATTAGTGTAGGTCCATAGTGACAATGAATTGAACACATGACAAGAGTTTACTAATTGACTAAGAGGGCCAGAGGGGGGGGAGGCGACTAGTGGCAAAGTGGCGTTGCCAAATAAGAAGAAAATGGAATGAAACCAAGAATCTTTACTGGGTTGTATGTCGTGCAGCATTACTCACTTTAAACAACAAGTAACCTACTGTGATGCCATTCTTTCAATAAATGGATCATGATTGAATTACCCCCATTGTTTTAATTTTTTTTCTTAAGGTACGGACTAAGAGTATTTTAAGAGGTTTTTTAATTAAGAAAGTACAGTACCTACTAAATTTTACCCAGACGTTATGAGTAGGCCTACTCTTAATTTACAAGAATGTTAGGCCTAAACATTTTACAGATGATATTGTTATTATCGTAAGTGAAAAAGAATAACTTTGAACTTAGGCCTATATCTGTACACTGTCATGAAGGAGAGCAGGTAAGCATTAACTTTGGGATTACAATCAATCTCCTACAATTATCAATTATCAATCATTAAGATGGGGACGCCACTCAGGTGCGTATTTTAACCCAAATATGAGTGAAGGATGAGTGTAGAATGGTGTGTGATGATCTGTGTAGCTTTGTTACTGACTAAGATCAGCTGTTTCATTAGCCAGGATCATTTATTTAAAGCCCAATGATCAGGAACAGCTGGGTCCAATTGGATCACAATCTCTAATGCTCTGAACTAGGCTGGTTTTAGTCTGACTACCTGATGCAGTAACCGCGCTACTGCAGCTATATACTAACAGAGCTAGGCTACCATGTTTTTACTGATAAAACTGACATAGGTATCGTTATTGAAATTTGCTCGCTTCAAATGAGGGTTCACCCTACTCTTCATAAAAGTCAACTTAAGTTAGATTTTAGAGGTAATTTTATATCAGAATGTTAGAACCAAATTAACTTAGATTAGCTTATTTATATAAAATCTATATGGTACTATAGTCTAAGTTAATATCAATAACATCATATTGCTAAGTTATGCTGTCAGTGTTTTACGGTTAAGTTATTCTATTGTTTATAAGTTATAGGGTACTGTTATTTTTTTCATTTAAGTTTATTAAATTTATAGTGTCGTACTATAGGCTACTTAATGTGGGAACGCTTCCATATCTGTTGGCACAACCAAATGAGTAATATTGATTATTCGATTGTTTAATTTGATATATCGTTTGGTTTAGGTTAGGTTTAATCTTACCAAACTAACCAAACGTTATTCCTTACAATACTCATTCGGTTGTTTGTGCCAACAGATATGGAAGTGTATACCCCTTAATGTGCATGTTGTGTGTATTTATTATTATTATTGTTTAAGCAAAGACAAGGCAACCCTGAAAATACAATACCCCCGCCGCAGCAAACCTGACGCCTAAGCGAATTTCCATTTGGCTGAATTGATTTTCAATTGATCTATTTAAATAACATTAGGTTTAACGAGTACCTAGGTTTGCTGCTACAAGGAAACTAATAAAGTGTGTGTTTTAAGTAAAATAATTATTGCTTAGTATAAAATGAATATATTTGCCAAGTTTGATCAAAAGATATCCATAAACAAGCAAACTACAACATTTTACAATATTTTCCATAAGAATAACATGGGAATTTTAAATTTACCATTTTTTTAGATTTCTCCGTAACCAATAACCGTAAAAAAACACTTTGATATACTGAATTGTTTGTTTTTTTAAGCTCTTTAAGACGGTTTAGAGAAAAGTTGGGAAATTTTGTGTTTTGAGGGTCAAAAGTGAGAAAAACCAATTTTTACCCCATAAAACCCCCCATAAAACCCTGTTCCCATGGTCCGATCATGCTGGATCGCGAACTCATTCAAGTTTATCCCGCCTTACACCTTCAAACCAAATTTCATCAAAATCGGATAACAATTACTCAAGTTATCGTGTTCACGGACACACATATATATATATATATATATATATATATATACATATATAAAAATTTGAACGAGTGGTGTTTTTGGCCTCTGGGGACATCAAAATGAAAAAGTAAATCGGTCCCGGGCCTAAGTCTTACCATGAGACCTACGGTAATAGCTACTTCCCTATAGGGAAATTCGCTAAAATGTTTTTATGATATTTTTAACTGAACTTGGCTCATGCAGCTTTTAAAATATAATATTAAACAATAATCCTTTAATGTGGTTGTGAATGTATTATGACAACTATTCCCAAAAATGCGGTTCAGATGAAAAATTCACGAAAATGGGTTTTTATAATTGTATCCATGTATGAGAAGGTTTTAATACTTTTTAGATCTCTAACTCCGTAGGTTTAAAAACTCCCATGAAATGTAAGAAAACTATTTGATTCATATGTTTATATTAAAAATCCGTTATTTAAAAAAATAATTTAAACAACGGCTTTTTATTTAATGAAAACTGCTAATTGTGCAAATAAAATTAAGTATTTTGTATAGATGAGTTATAAATAAATTAATACAATATATATTAATGCAATTCACTATAAATAAATAATAACAGCTGTTTTAGTAGAATAAAGTTTTCTTCCTAAAAATATAAAAAGTGCAACAACAATAACCCAGAAATCTGGCTGGTGGCGTATTCTCGCGGATACTTGCTGAACTACGAAGACTACTGCTGTGCAAAGAACAATATAAACAGAGTCGGTAAAGCAGTCTGTAATATAAATTTATATAAAATAAAATGTCTTGTCTTTAATTCGTACATGCTTTTCAAAGCTGTCTACATATCCGATTTAAGTTAACACATAAAAAAACACGAGGAGGAAAAGAAGACAGGACAAATTTTCATGTAAAACTAAAAAGCTATATAAGATTAGTTTGTAATAACATGATTATTTTGAGCAAAACATATTAATGTTGATACCAGGGTAGAGAAAACCATCTGTGAAAAGAATACAAGCTAAATATTTGTAGTTTAAGAACTTATTCTGGGGGGAGATACGAAAAAATTGTAAAAACGGATACATAATTGATACTAGAATTACTTGCAAGTTAAAAAAAGTACAAAGAAATTAAAAAATTACAATAAACAAACCCCCACCGCAGCAACCCTAACATTTATGTTTAACGAGTACCTAGGTTAGCTGCTACAGGAAAAGCTAATAAAGTGTTTTTTTTTTTTTTTTTTAATATCAATAGCTTAGTATGAAATATATAAATCCGCCATGTTTGATCAAAATATATCCATAAACAAGCCAACTACAACACTTTTTACAATATACTTCATAAGAATAACATAGGAATTTTAAAATAACTTTTTTTTAATTTTCTCCGTAACCAATAATTGTACAAAAAAACGTTTATATTCAAAATTATTTTGTTTTTTTAGCTCTTTAAAAAGGTCTGGAGAAATTTTGTGTTTAGAAGGTAAAAAATTTTAAAAACCAATTTTGACCCCATAAAACCCCCTTAAAACCCCGTTCCCATGGTCCAATCATGCTGGTTCGCGAACTCATTCAAGTTTATCCCGCCTTACTACTTCAAACAAAATTTCATCAAAATCGGACAAAACTTACTCAAGTTATCGTATTCACGGAAACATATATATAATATATATAAAATATATATATACATACATACATAAAAATTTGAACGAATGTTGTTTTTGGCCTCTGGGGACATCAAAATGAAAAAGTAAATTTGTCCCGGGCCTAGGTCTTACCATGCCACCTACGGTAATAGCTATTTCCCTATAGGGAAATTCGCTAAAAGACAATTTTTAGGGCTTCATGTTAGTTGTTAGAGTATATCTCGCTGAAATATACATTACCCGACCCAAGTAAGCGTATTTTACAAATCACTGAACTAACTGAAATTTTGTGATAGTCTGTAAATCCTAGAAACGTTCTTTAATTTATTTCACCATCCTCACAATTAATTTATTCTTTTTTAATACTATTCAAATTGAATTTGCCATTTATTTTAATTTGGCTTTGAGTTCTCACGGTATAATGTTTCCTAAAATTGTAATTACTACACAATTTAAATAGAAACCTTGTTATTTAGCTTAATGATGATTGGGCAATACAATGAGGAGTTTAGAAGACCTCATTTATCACGTAAACTCGAATTAACATAATTCGAGTTAGATGTAATTTTGTACAAACAAGTAAACCATACGTTTATTCGAATGAGTACGCGAACCAGTATGACCAGACTATGTGAAATGGGTTTTATGGGGTAAAATGTTTTACTTGTTTCTGACCTCTAAATCATAACATATTGCAATTTGTTTCCAAACTATTTTGTTGACTTTAAATACAAAAGATTTATTATACTGAAGCTTTTTTCTATGCTAACCCAGTTACGGAGAAAATTACAAAAACTATTTTTGCTTGTTTATGGATAAATATTGCAAGTTTTTTTTCACAAATGTATTTATTTCATTCTAAGCTCTCAACATGTTATTAGAAAACTCCTCATTACATTCCCTGCATTAGAAAACCTAAGTACTGATTAAAATAATGTAATTTCAATAGGAAATATATTTTATAGTTTTATGAGAATATTTCATTGGACCTCCAGCAAGGTAAATGGAAATTTGCTAAGTCTGCAGGTTTGTTGCGTCGGGGCATTGTTAGATTTAAACAAAAAATACTTTTTTCTAATCAACTTTTAATTGTGGATAAAGTGCAAGTAAAAATCTCACTATCCTAAATACTGTACGCAAACATATGATTTTCATGAGATTGAAAACAGCTGGGACTAATTTTAAAACCAAACACAAACATTACAACTTTCAAAATAACAACGGTGATTCTTAAAAATATCTATTGATATAGCTTAATTGAGTATTTAAGTGTCTCAACTCAATATTAAAGTCCAAGATTATGGTTATGTAATGATATCTCTAGTGATCAATACTGAGAGCCCTATGCAGGAAACCCTACATGTGTCCAGGTATACGAGGGTAGCCAGTTTAGAATAGTCTCTGAAGAGTACATCATGTTGCTAGTGTTTGTGTTGTTTGTGATTTGTTCAATCTCAATCATCTTCGTGTAGAACTATTGTTCGTTTGTAATTTTGTCCAACTACTAACTCCAGTCATGGATGTTATCTTGGATGCTATTTTTGAACATGTTTTCTCTAAGTTAGACCGGGGATGCTTGTTGGCACGTTACAAAAGAAGACAACTCACAGACTACCTCAGCACAGTTATCAGAGGATCCGCAGCAGACGACACTCAAGAAGGTTGCAGACGGGCAGTCCGTGCGGCTATACGCTTCCACCGAAACTCCAAAGAAGCCAACGGTAAAATCTGTCTTCTAGGGAAGTTCCACAACGTTCTCTACGTCGCTGCTACATTATGCTTCGACTGGAAGCTTGAAGATTCAGAGATCGTTGCTGAACTCCTCCATGACATATTCGACTGCGAGTGTACTTTTGAAAGGCTCTTCGTCGGAGCCATCCTAGGGACTAAAGTTACCCATTTGATCTCCGGGTGGAAAAGTGACTTTAGAAGCAAAGAGGAGTGTATAGATGCTGTAAAGTATTTTTTGGACCACTCGACTAAAGCTGGGTTGAGGTTTCAGTGCTCGTCTGGGGACTCTAGGAAGTTTGTTGATGTCCCGATGGAGTCTTACGGAGGGTCTACGCCCCTCAGGGTCGCAGCCCAAGCAGGTCAGCCTGGCGTGATTTCTTTGCTACTTCACTACGGTGCGGTGGTCACACCTCTTCCTGACCCAAACACTTGTGCCTTGCAACTACTTCTGCGTCGTATGAATGACTTCTGTCATGACAGACCTGAGGAACCAATCCCATCGGAGTTCATCCTTTGTTTAAACTTGCTGCTCCGTGACTTCCCCAGAGTGCCTCAAATTCTTCCCGACCCCGAAGATGATCCAGACCTACAGGAAGTGAGGGAAATCCATCCGAGGATGATTGCAATGGTATCTCCAGAGAAGTCAGGGTATGTCTCTAATTCTTCATTTTATTTTTTCGAATGGGTAGCCTCCGGATTATCGAGATACAATTAAAGTAGTTTAAATACCTGTAATGTCGACAATCCCAAGTGGTTGTGAAACTACTAGTTTCGGCTCATAACGGAGCCATCTTCAGGTTTTCCAAGGACATTATCACTTCTTCCGAAGGTCGTCAAAGTTCACAAATAATTTACATAAGTACATTAAAAACATTTAAAAACACGTAGCACGCATGTCTAGGCCTAGCTTTAACGACGTGACCGGCGACGCATCACGCTCTTTTGCAAAACGTTTTAAGGAACACATCCCCAAGAAAAACGCGTCCACGCAATCTTCAACCTTTGCAGAACATTTAATAACAAACAACCATAGCTATTCCAACATCAATAATAACATGACAGTTCTACATTTTAATAAAAACAAATTTCAGATCAACACGCTAGAAGAATTCGAAATTTATAAGGCAGTCAAATCAGATAAACGAAACGTACTAAACGATAAGCTTTCATTTGCTTCTAACTTTATTTACTCACACTATTATTCACACTACAATAGAAATAATGGAAAGGGAGAGGGAGATGAATGATACCCACAAACAACCTGTTACTGATAAGACGAACCGACCATAGTGCCCGGTAGTCTAGACGTAAACTCCCGCCGGTCACGTCGTTAAAGCTAGGCCTAGGCATGCGTGTTACGTGTTTGTAAATGTTTTTAATGTATGTAAATTATTTGTGAACTTTGACGACCTTCGGAAGAAGTGATAATGTCCTTGGAAAACCTGAAGATGGCTCCGTTATGAGCCGAAACTAGTAGTTTCACAACCACTTGGGATTGTCGACATTACAGGTATTTAAACCACTTTAATCAATTCTTCAAGTAGTGTAGTAAAAGAATATTCATGAAACCAAGAGGGATATCCCATAATATTAAAATCTATTATGGGATTTAGTTTGAGACGACAGAACTAAGGACATTACAGCATTGGATAGACTAAATATGGTTTTATGAATCGTTAGTGTAGCAGAATGAAATTACAGTATGATCACTACATTTTACTGTTTAATTTTCTGGGTCCCTCACCACTCTTTATATCGGATCAGCTGTCGGCTGTTGTGTCAAAATTATCGTGATGTGGAGGGAATAAAATTGCTTCCCCTCAAACCATCTTAAGTTTGTGAACGGAAAGGGCCTATATTATGAGTTTTCCATTATAGCTTGGACTGACGAAACGCAAAATAAATCCTTTCTAATACACTTAGGTTGGTAATGCAGTGTAAGATTATGTTTTCCTCTTTTCATTGCTACCTGATTTAATAGATACTTTAATACAATGTTTAGATATGCATGCCTAATTTAATAATAATACATATGTGTACTTAAATACCGTGTATATGTTTACTTTAAGTCTAGAATGTGTACTAAATTTGCATGCATAGTTAGTGCATTGATACTTGCCATATTAAGTCAAATATTTTGACAAAAATTTGTATCGTTTCATCTTAGTTCTAATATGTAACGGATAACTATTTTTGGCTTATAGAACTATGAAAACTTCGACGTACAATTTTCTCCTATAAAATCAAATAAACTGTTATATTTAACTACATATGTATATTTTAGTGATATAAATTTGAGCACTTAAAATGTACTATAACAAATTATTATTTTAATTTTTTATATATAGGCCTAGTTAATATTTCTTTTAAAAATCTAACTTTACTCTAGCACTAGTTGTTTACTGTAAGACACTCTTAAGCGTTTTCCAAAAATCGCACACCTTCAAAAATCGCCCTACATCTAAAATTTGTTAAATTTCTCGATTTTTTTATGGTTTTTTTATTGAACAAGCATGTCAGCTAGTCACGCCTTTTAATAATGTTTGTTCAGTAAAAAACCCCGTAAAACATTTTTACGTATTTTAGAAGTAGGGCAATTTTTGAAGGTGAAGGAGTGCGATTTTCGGAAAACGCTCACGAGTGTCTTGTAGAAAATCTTATTCCTGACAATGAAAATTATTTCAAATCTTTGATAGCTCTTACCGTTTTCGAGCTACAGCAGTTTAAAATCTCAATTTTAGCTGATTAAGTTTGATATAAAAGTTATTTTCTATTCTACTACAGCCATTGATGAGTCAAAATTACTGCAAAATATGAGTTTCACTTTAAAATTCTGTGTCTGTTACTATAGTCTGTATGATAAAACCTGTTTCCTGACCCTTAGTCTACTTAGGACTGACTTGGGCCTTAAACTCTCTGTCACCCTCAAGACTGCTCTTCTAACTCGTAGTTTTTTAGCTTTCTCAATAGTTTCAGTAAATTTTTACCCAAGCCATAATTTTCAAAATTGAAAATTTCACTAAGTCCGGTACTTAAAAGGATAACATAATAAATAAACAAAAGCAAATTTGATTACGAAACAACAGTAAACTTGTGTAGAAAGAACAGGATAGAGATAAGAAAACAATCTATACACTATACTGTTTGTTTGTTAATTAAATCCAACATTGTTCATCCAGGATATTATCTATTCATGTACTCCTAAAAATTTGAAAAAATGTTGGAAGTTATGATTTGCATAACCTATTGGGGAAGCTAAATAACGACTATTTAGGGCAAATGGCGCAGAATTCAGGTTTATACCCTGTCTAGACTGAGGGTTTGTAGACAGGTTTGAGCATACAGACTATAGTTGTTATAGGTATACAATAGTTATAACAAAAAACTAATTTATTTCAAAATTACAGGTTAACAATTGTGCCTAGTCTGCGACAGCTGTGCAGATGTTCAGCACGTCAACAACTTGCTGTTGAAGGTTTGCTGCCGTACGGCGTCAGCAAAATGTCACTTCCTGATTCAGTGGTAGATTACCTATTGTATAAAAATGACTGATATGATCAAGTTTGTTAATATTGTACATATACGATATCGAATTATATTCACTTGTAAATTTTGAATTTTGGACTGTGATATTCAATTGAAATAAAATATTAAGTTAATCAAGAACTTGATTGGAATCCATTGAAATATGCGCTACTATTTATTATAAAGCAAAACATGTTTCTCCTTCTTGAGCAATGACAAAGTATACACTGTTGTAATATTGAATATAAAAAGCTGGAACACTGATCGAAAAGTAAGGAACTTTCTTTGGTGTCTATATTTAATGTCGTCTATGATCGTTAACTATTTTGTAGACCAAGACTTCAATGTTATAGAGTGAAACGGAACATGATAATAGATTCGGTTGGGTTGAGTAGGCTTCCAAATAAGTTTTAAATGATTTTTTTTATTTAATCTTTCAATAAATTAATTGTATTAAAAAAACATTTAGGTTAGTCTTGTTTATTAAAGGAAACGTTCGGAAAAAAATTAGGAAAACTTCTTACAACTAGACAAAATCTGTTTAGACTATTACGGTACCATGCAATTCAAAGGATACAGATTTATTTACCAATCTTAAAATGTAGTGATATTTATTCGTGTACAAAGCACTATTTTTGAATGAATGACAAGATTATACACATAGAAAACCATGTGATAAGTCACGATTCGTGGCAGGTGCAGGAACTGATGGGGCTTCAGTCGGTCTATTCTTTCACACACTCTAAAGGTGAGGTTGGGCTATTTGTGTGGTCATAGCCAATAGATAATTTAATCTTTATCTCAATATTTAGGAATACATCAAAATTACATTTCATTATTGGTTAGTCTCTGGATCAAGATATTGCAAGATTTAAAACGTTTAAATTTCCTGTTGCGTCAAAAATTGTTGATATAAATGGATACAGCTGTTTCGTGCTGCTAAGCACATCTTCAGGTTTGTTAAAATGTTAGAACGTTAAAACACTATTCTCATTGATGAATGAGGTCGTCAGCATTTATATATTACTCTTCTAAGACACAAAACACATATGAAAAAGATATTTATATAAAAAAAAATGAGCCATGATTAAATAATGGCTGAGTAATTCACCTCATTTTCTGACTAGTTGGCCAACTTATTTGTATAAATGTAGTTATATGGGTTTCTGGTCCAAGAAGGGTAATATAAAATGCCGACAACCTCATTCATCAATGAAAATAGTGACGATCTTAACCTGAAGATGTGCTCTTAGCAGCACGAAACAGCTGTAGCTGTTAACTCAAAAGTACCGATACTTGTATTAATATTTAAATGGAACTGTCAGGAAACGTCCGAACCAAATGTTATGGTTACTGTTTGCAGAGTGGAACGAATCTAGTATTAAAAGATTTAATGTGTTAAATTACTAAGTATTAGTGACATAATGGCACCAATCAAGGCAACACTAAATTTAGGTTTCCATACTCTCACAGGTAGGTAGTAACAGACAAAATAAAATTTTTTTAATATTTGTATTTGCTTAGATAAAATGACCATAAGTGCACTTAAAATTGTTTTTTTCTACACTCCAGTGCCATTTTCAGAATCCTCATTAAATTTCCAATAAAATATTAAAAAAATTTTTGGGGTATAACATACTTATAAGTTCTTACTTTGTAAATTAATTTTAAATTTGTGATTTTTTTTTATTCAATATCTCGATATTTTCTGTACTGAACTGGACTGTAGAGAGTGTCGAATATTATTAAAAACTTCTTTAACTAATACCCTTTCAAATGATGTATAAAAACCTACTTTTTCTTGGATTTTTCATTCTACAATTCAAGATTTTCTGTTGAAAAACTCGGAACGGCTGGAGGTGCATATCCTGTAAAATAACATGTGCTTCGTTAAAAATATGACTGTTGCATTAAAAATAATGTTGGAATGGGCTTTTATTGTAATCTTTGGAATCCCTGTGAAAACTCGATTTAGAATATTAAAGAAATATTGGGATTTAAAACCTTGAGAATGTATGTTATGAAATAAAAGTTAAAATTATTGTTAGAAATCAGAAATAATACTAATTGAATTGTATTTCATATTTTATTTATCAAGGCTTACAAACTCAAACTGAATTAACTTGACTCTTCATTCTCAATTTCTTTGTTGTTGTTTTTCACATCCAGTCTGTTCAACTATTGCTTTTTTTAGTTTCAGTCCAGGCTTTGGATTACTATCAAAGCCAACTAAATTTACCGTACATTTATATATATATATATACGGTATAAATTATTATTGTGCATTTATTTTAAATTCATAACGTTTATCATTTTGTTTTGTAAACAATTGAATATAGTGTGCGGTATTAGTTCTATGACATTTAAATTATAAACAAATACTTTGAATAGAATTATCTTTAAAATTATAAGATACTACACTTTAAATGCTGTAAAAATCTTGACCGGATCCCCAAAATTTTTTTAAGTAAATTTTACCGATTTTTTGGAGTTAAACCAATGTTAATGAAAAATAACTCAGCCAAATCATCTAAAAAAATCATCATTTCAGTAATCCTTAGTTGTAATTTTTTACAGCTAAAATGTAACAGTTGCTACACACAACACAAAACATTAACTTAAAACAACTGTTCTTTAAATTGTGAGTTATTGCCTTCTACTTTATTCCAATCGCTTTAGTTTGTTTTCGAAATGCCCTCCATTTCCCCTTACACACATTCGGGCTCTTTTGCGCATTACCCTAATAGTTACCTTAAATGACATCATCCCTGACTTGCACAGCATTGTCCATGATACGGTTGTGAAGTCCCTGCTCTCTGTCCACTGGAGTTGAGTAGACCAAGCTCTTCATATCCCCACAAAAAAGGTCCATTGGACTAAGCTCCAGCGACTTGGCAGGACAACGAACTACACCATTACGATCTATCCAAGTTGTGTAATTAGCATTGAGCCAATCTCGCACATCATTTCTCACTCATAAACATCACTCATCATTTCATCACTCTTAAAAAAAAAAATTTGAAATGTGAGGAGGGGCTCCATCTTGTTGAAAACTAATTCCCCTCCTATCTATTCCTACTTCCAGAAGCATTTAAGGCAAGTAGTTTTGAAACGCAAGTACATGGGGTCATTTAAACTTCCCTCAAAGATGTGTGGTCCTATGAGTTGACCTCCAATTATTCCTGCCCAAAGATTAATACTGAATCGACGTAGGAAGGACGATTCTCTCCTCGTTCTTGGGTTTTCTGTAGCCCAAACGTGCATATTAAGGGTATTGAACAAAACTTTCCTCGTATAAGTGCCCCGTAACTCCATAGAATGTTTTTGAAAAAGTGATACTGTTCGATATCACTGTTCAGGAGCCAACGGTAAAATTAAATTCTGCGTCATCATCTCCGGGTTCTAATCCGTGCACTTTCGTTAAATGGTATGGGTGGTATCTATTTCGTTTTAGTCCTTTTAGAATCTTAGTACGAGGCGTTCCGATTTCAGTAGCAAGTTGCCTACTTATTCCTGGTCTTTCAATCACTCGATCGAGGCTCTTCAACAGCGATATTTTGTGCTGGACCTACCTCATTACGTAGCTTTTTCACTGAACCACTCTTAACGATGTGTTGATAAACAAATAAAAAACCTGAGAGCTGTAAAATAATATTATGAACATAAAAAAAGTTTAAAATGTACCTGAACACACATACAATATGAAACAAATCTAATGTATGAATTCGTTCTACAAATCTTCAGATGCATTTGTTTTTGTTTTGAAATTAAACCTCAAGTTGGCAACAATGGAATACAGCATATGGTTTCTTGATCAGTTGATAGAAATATTCACCTTGCCATGCGCTCAACTTTAATATAGAGGACAGTATCCTCAAATAAATAACCATTTAATTCTTTACTGGGGAAGATACCTATAATGATGTATTATAATTTAGAAGGTTATTTATTTAAAAGTGTTTACACTATTTGAATAATTCTTGGCTATTTTTACCATATACTAACACCGTAAACTAAATAAAAAATTTATATTTATAAAAAAATAATTTTAACTTTTATCTCAAAACAGACGTTCATAAAGCTGTCAATCCCAATATTTAATTGGGTTTTCACAAGGATTCCAAAGATAACTATAAAACTCTTTCTAACATTGTTTTCAATGCGGCAGTTTTCATTTAAGGAAGCACAAGTTATTTTACAGGATATGCAATTTCAGCCGTTCCGTGTTTTTCTACAGAAACTCTTGAATTGTAGAATGAAAAATCAAAGAAAAAGTTAATTTTTGTACCAGATTTGAAAGAATATTTCTTAAAGAAGTGTTAAATGATATTTGACACTCTCTACAGTCCAGTTCAGCACAGAAAATATCTAGTAAAATGTTTTGAATTTTTTTTTATCTCAAATTTAAACTTAGTTATGAGAGTAAGAACTTTTAAGTATGCTTTTCCTAATTAATTTGTACTATTTTTGTTGGAAATTTAATGAGGAATCTGAAAATGGCATTGTATTGTAGAAAAAACAATTTTCAGTGCACTTATGGTCATTTTTAAATTGGTGCCTTTTGTCACTAATAATCAAAACAAAACACAAAGGAAGTTTTCAGTTTTTTTTTTCATTTAGTAGTTTAAGACATTAAATTTGACACTAACTTCGTTCCACCCTGTATATTCAGGTCAGTGATCAATATAGTTTTTTTTTATATCCGCTGTTGAAATACTTAAATGTTTATCTATTTAAATTTATCATTTGCTTGTTTCAATTCAATACATTCTTAAAATACTAAATCAACTATTCTATTAACACGTAAAGATAAGACAGGTTAGATATTCGCTCTAATATCTAACACCTACAAACTGTATCTGAATCATATGACTACCAAACAGGAAATAACAAAAACAAATTCAATTCGCAGAAGAATTTTTATTGCTTTAAACACATTTAATCACATTTTGAAACTTGTCGTTAAAAAGAACAGAGATTTGAATACAAAAGAGCACTCCGTTAACGAACAGGAACATTTATGTTTGATATCTATTTACATTAGTCCTATTGTGAAAGTTTTCATCGACCTATGTACATTTGTTATTCGTTGTACATGAAGAAATTAAACATGAAAGCAAGTATGTGTTTAGAAACGAAAGCTGTAAATTCTAAGTGATTGAAACCTCTTGTAAGAATTGCGATTTTAATCATCGCATGTTTAAATTACATTTTAAGATCAAATCTTTACAGATTTCTGGCCTATATTTACATAGGTGTAAATAGACTACGTGACCCGAAAGGGCATGGGATGATGAAAACATTTTTACTTTGTAAAATACAAAGTCCTATGGTTTTAACATTTTAAATTTGTCAAGCAACAACACTACTATATTATCTAGCTTTAGTCAAGTTTCTACGTTTATAAACTTTTATCGATTAAAGTTTGCCAATTCAATGATTGAAAAGGTAATTAAAAAATATTATTTATCAAAACTATTGATACCAAAGTTCCAAGGGCATTTTTAAAAGTGACAACTCTCTAAGAAGATACAAGAAAGAATTACTTATATTTTTTTTTAATTCACCAGTTTGGAAAAAACGATTTTTAGAATACTAACTCTTCAAAGTGATTTTTTAAACAATAAAATAAGACATAAAGCCTAAATATAATGAGTATATACAATGAATTATCAAAAGTCCACTCAAAAACATCTTTCGTGAGAGAAAATTTAAAATTTGATTCTACAAATACATACCAAGAACATGAACAGTGTTGCGCTTCGCACATTTTAATTTATGTACAAAAGTGGTTAAAAGCTTAAAGCCTACTTAGGATTTTATATACAAATGTACAAGTTTATGGGAATTGGTGCTTCCCTCAAATTGATCAGTAAACGCATACATGTTCTCAAATGAGAATGAATAAACAAACTTTTCCTAAACCAAGACATCTTAACCCTCACAAATAAAGAAAAAAGATACATAAGAGGGTAGCATTAACAGGTTTCGTAAAATTTGGCATTAATATTTAAAATCACCGCCATTTTGAAACGGTTCATCAGTTTTGGTTCTGATTTTTTTCAAAAGATAGAGCCAAAGTAAACCAATAAGCTGAAAATGTTTGCAGAATCTCAAAAATGTAGTTAAACTATTAAGGAGTTATGAACATTACATACATACAGACAGACGCCAAACGGCTTGCTTAGACGAATGTTAAATTAAACTCTTTTGCTAATTTTGATCCAAGAAATCGCTACCTAAACCATGGTTCACACCTTTATTTAACACCCTGTAACGAACAGTCACCTTTTTTTAAGAATACTGGGTGGGTTATGTCAATTTCTCAAACGAGATGAATAAGAGCTATATGTAAAAGAAAAAACAGAGACAAGTTGGCTATAGAAGTGCCCTAGTTGATAAAAGGTACTATACAAATAATAGTCAACAATATTTGGTAATAATAGTAACTATTAAAATAAATGAAGGAAAATAAATTAGAGCCTCAAGTCTTTGGCTCGCATTTTGATTATGCATCCCCGTCAGAGCAAGAATTGAAGTAACCTATTGGTCAAGGGCTAAAAAATATCAACTCAGTATAAATAAAAGTTCAGTAGTAAGAACAGTTAGCCGAATTAGTATGTTTTTTCGTGCTTTGTTCATATCACCAGTCAAGTATCTTTTAAAGTTAGTTGGGTTAAGGTAAGTTAGAATAGTAATTTAATTATCATTACTCCCTCAAATGTTACATACTTTTCATTATACATTGTATCAAATAATTATATTCACCTAACCTAACAAATTATAAGGATTTCGGGACAGCCAAAGGTTTTTAAGCTGATTAGTAATTGTTAGAAACAAAGTATACCTACTTTATATTAACCAATTAAACTGGTCACGTTTGACTAAAGATAAAGTCGATGTGAACACTTAACGATTTTTGATTTACGAATGGATGAACGGAAGAACAACGTGGAGTCTGACTCGACTTAAAGAAGATTAAAACCAATTGAGTTGTTCTCATTTAGCGTATGCGCAATAGGCTACTCCAAATCATGCGTTAGTGAGGTTTTAATGCTATTGCCAGGTTGTTTGCAGAGTTTTTGTTTTGCAGTGTTGGTACTACTGTGGTTGTTGGATCAGTGCTGCCACTACACAGCTGAAGAGGTTAGTCATCAGTTCATACGATGTATTCCTTGCTGCGCGAGAGGAACCAGACTTCCATCGGTTCTTTCTTCCCCTTCATCTGCACGGGTCCGCGATACTCGAAATGGAACTGGGGATCGTCGTTGTCAGCTTGACTCAGGAATCTGAAAACGATGACAGGACTAAGTTCTAGAACATCCTTGATGAAACATACATTGTGTTTCAATAAGTCAAGTACCTACGTAAAAACTTTGACAGCTTCTAATGTTTAACAATTTATCTTTCAGGCTTGGCTTTCTATCTGAAATGGTATAGAACTAAAATAAAATTTATGAAGCCAATGATGAGGAAAATCAGAGCAAGAGCTATGTAGGGATGTTTTAATAACACAAAACTTCACTTGTTTTTTTATGAACTAAAAATGTGTGGTCTTGTTAAATACAAGAGAGGAAAAATCGAGAGGTTTGATATGAAAGAGGCTATTTTACGAGAGAAAAAATGAGTACTTGTTAGTATTATAGGTGATTCGCGATGAATGAATGAAACAATGGAGATTTAACCAGGTCATGTGACGAGAACTACAGATATACTGTTAGGAACAGATACATTTAAAGTAATACTAAAACAAAAACAACCTGACTGAATTAAATTGGCTCTAAAATGTAAAAGTATCACGTAGTATCAAATACGAGTTGTCTTTTGCTACAATGTCCTTATGTTCTGTATTCTTCCGATGTTAATATCAGCTAACAAGTACTGCTAGATACTTTGGTAAATCGTGTTAGTATAGCTACTAAGAGACACAGTAGACATTACAAGTTTTCGAGTTTACTAAAACAATTCTAAAAGGCTGAGTATAGTATTTACTACCCAGAAAAGAGACTGATCCGTACATTCTTTACAATTTCGGATACTAGAAAACTCATAATCCTATACTCAGATTTGTTTCCATTATTGTTGCACCTTTTCTTAAACTTTTCATCAATTAAAGTTATTTGTTTCCTCATAAGCCTAATTTATACTAAGCCTTTTCAAACTCTCCTAATATTTCTCCCTGAAACCTTTACTCTCTATGTTTCACCTGTAAGCGTCCTGGGAGACGTTTATCTTGCCCGGAGCTCCCGTAGTCTCTGTTCTGGACGTGATGTTGACCGTGTTCCCGAAGAGACAGTATCTGGGCATGCGGTGGCCGATGACTCCAGTGACAACCTCCCCACTGTGGATCCCAATGGAGATACGCTGCAAAAAAAGGATGCCTATGATATACAGGGTTATTAAAAAAGAAGCACACTTTTATAAGGATGTCAAACTGAAAGAAAATAATTTATAGCCATAATTTTGGCATTCCTGTGTAGCTAGTGAACTAAAGTTTTACTACATCAGCTGATTTTGCATCATTGTTGTTACAATGACCTCATTCATGTTATTCAAAAAATGGTGAATAATTACGTTGAAAAGGCTTTTTGTGTGCTTGAACTTGAGAAAACTAAATCTGTTACTGTTGTGCAACGTCGGTTTAGAACACGTTTTCAAAAAGCTCCTCCAGGTAAGAAATCAGTTTATGATTGGCACAAGAAATTCTAAAAGCTTGTTCAAGTCAAAAAGTTCTGGGAGGCCGTCGCTAGTAGAACAACGTGTTTATCGGATCCAAGCTGCTATCCAGCGCAGTCCAAAAAAGTCAACGTCCAGGTTAGGTGTAGAGCTTCAAATTCCACAGTCATCTGTTTGGAGAATTTTGAGAACACGTCTAAGGATGTAACCGTACAGATTACAGCTGTTGCAACAATTACGTGATGGTGATAGGGAGAAACGTTTAGCATTCTGTGTTGACATCCAGACACGTTTGGAAGAAGATGGATTAATTGATCGACTAATCTTTGGGGACGAATCAACTTTTCATCCGAGCGGAAAAGTTAACAAGCACAACGTGCGTATATAACTGAAAATCCTAGAGAAATCGTTCAACATGAGGGGGATTCACCTAAACTCAATGTCTATTGTGCTGTATCAAAGCAAAAGATATACGGGCCTTTCTTCTTTCAAGAAAGTACGGTCACAGGCACCTCCTACTTGGACATGGTTAGTTAATGGCTTATCCCTCAACTACAAGAAGATAGTAATGACTTCATTCTAGTGCAAGATGGAGCTCCACCACATTGGCACCATGAAGTTAGAAATTACCTTGATGAGCAACTACCTCATCGCTGGATCGGCCGTGCAACTGACGACAATGTGACACTCATGCGTTGGCCACCTCGCAGTCCGGACTTGACCCCATGAGATTTCTTTTTATGGGGGTATGTGAAAGATCAAGTTTTCACTCCCCCATTACCACTGAGCCTCATCGAGCTAAGGCAGCAAATATCAAGAGCTGTGGAGAGTATTGAGGTAAATACCCTTGTAAAAGTCTGGTCAGAATTTGACCGTAGAACAGATGTCTGCCGTGTGACCCACGGGGCACACATAGAACATCTTTAGGTTAGTGAATAAAACTTTTAAATGTCCTCTTTCTTCTGGTGATATTCATTTTGTTCTGTTGATTAAACGTGGCATACTGTATTCACTTAAAAGTGTGTATTTCTTTTTGAATAACCCTGTATTTTAAATCCACATGCCACAGCAAACCTGCAGAATAGGCTAATTTTCATTATCTTTGTTGGAATTTCACTAAAACAGCCCCTTTAAATTCTGAATTTAATTTTCCATATAACATTTATTTTAATGAGTACTTTACAGGGAGATAATAAGGGGTACTTAAAATTGAAATACTAATAGTTTAGTATAAAATACACAAATGTTATCAAAAAATATCCCTATACAAGTATACGGGGAACAATTTTATTTCCATAATCATAATATGAGAATTTTTAATTAAAGTTTTTTATAATTTCCCCTATAACTGTTAGGCATACAACTCGCGAAACTTGGGTTTGAATGAGGCCAAAATTCACTGTGAAATAAAGTTGAAGAATAATAAAGAAATGGAATACACGATGAAAGTGTGCGAACATGAAACAACAATGCTTTGATACACTAAACTATCTATTTTTTAAGCTCTACAAAACAGTTTGGAGAGGAAATTGTCAACCTTATGTTTTTCAAGTTAAAAATTAGGAAAGCGTGCCCTAGATAATGCAGACCTGCTCCCGTTCCGCTCAGGTTTACGATATTGCACGTTCAGACTTACAAAGATCTTACTAGAAGCTTTGGATAATATGTATTAATAATAGCAAAAAATATAAATATCACAAGTTAAGTGGAAAATAAATATAGAATATCTTGAACAAAGACTCATTGTTTATAAAAAAAAATCTATTTAGTAGCTTTTAGTTGATTAAACAGTCCATTGTAAGCCAATTGTATTTATGCAATTTAAGTTCTAGTGCCAATATTTCAACAACTCTACTGTTTAAAATCTTCTATAATATTAAAACGAAACAGTGTTTTTTTATTTCACGATTCTGAATCAACCACTCGACGGATTTTCATGATTTTTGTGTTGAAAGAAAGATAATAAGTCTAGCAGCCGACGCTAAGATTCTAAACTAGCTTTTGGCATAAAATAATTTGCTTAACATAACAGCTGTAAACATTCAGCTTTTGTGTCACAAATTCAGCATTTGGATAAAAATGTAAAGACATACTTAGGGTTGACTTATTTATACTATGTGTAATGCCAATCATTGATACGTTCAATTCTTCTGTAAGAGGATGACAGATTAATTAAATACATAGTAAAATACTAGGATGTTCAAATTATTTTTTAAAACAATCTTTGTAATCTTCGATTTGTTTTAGAGCAATATAATTTGTTTTAACCAACAGCTGGTTAAATATAAACTATGGAACTATGAGGTTATTTTATTTACTCTTATTTTGTCATTGATTATAGGAAATAAGTAAGATTAGTAGAGATAATTAGACCACAGTTTAAAATAGTTTAGACCAAAATTAATTAAACCACAGTACAAATCGAGGCTCTGTACACGAGTCTTAATAAAAAAGGATAAATGCAAATTATTTTACTATTCCACTTTTCGAGGAAAGAATAGAAAAATAACAATGTTTACATATTGTTTTAATTCTTCATGGTAGCTTTTTGTTTACAATTAATGTTTGTCTGCTTTAACTTTGTTTGGATTAGGCCCGGAAATATGAAGAGAATTGAAAAAGAATGTCATAAAAAGAAGATCAAGAATAATCAGGAATCACGATTTTAAATTACCACCACAACCTCAGCCGAGTTTTATACAAAGATTGAACACAACGTCAACATTGACCTAGGATACTGCAATTAGACAAACCATCCTTTTATGAAATCGTGTTCAGTGTGGTTACGTTTGGGGGTGCCTATCAGCGTCCCCAAACGTGAAAATATCACTTTTATTTCAACTATGAATATATTGTAGTTTAAATTAACTAATATGGTACGATGTACATTTATTCAATGAGGGTGGGTAATTATTAAGGATAGAACTGATAACGGTATGGATAATAAACATTGACAATTACGTCATTAGCTTTACTAGCGTGTTTACTTTTTATATTCCTGCTACATGTGACCAGTTCTTTTAGTAATCGTGAGTTCTTTTTTTTTTCAAATGAATGTTATTTGAACCAAACAGCTGTTTCCAAACAAACTATTATTGTTTTTACTTTTCTTTGTTTACACTTATTTATTTAGCAATTGATGCAGTGAAATTGATATAAAGGATAGGTGTGACGATTTATGTGTACTGTGAATTTTATTGGATATTATCGTTTTATTTTAGGTCGTTTCTATTCAGACCTACTGGAAATTGTGTATAGTAGTTGTATTGTGGTGATAATAATTATGGAAGAATTGTGGATATTTATAGGGATGCACTGTGGATGCGATGCTCCCTGGTGTGGATTAACGTCCGCACTAGTGAGTACTACGACTATCCGCAGTACTATCCTGATAATTAGACCAATTCGTAAATTACAAGGAAAAATGTGGTTCGGATTCCACTATAAACTGTAGGTCCCTTAGTTGCCATTAGCTGTATGGGCTATTAATTAACAGCTGTGTCTAAGGAATATGTCGGCCTTAGTCACTAACAAGACTACAAGATCGCGCCACTCATCCTACACTCATCCTTCACTCATATTTGGGTTAAAATACGCACATAGTGGCGTCCCCATCTTAACTAATTGATAATTGATAATTGATTGATAATTGATAATTGAAGAGGCAGGTAAGCTATGGAAGGTGGTAGGCCCCTAAGTCTATACACTTCTCAATTGACTATTACTCTCTCTGTACTGTAGGCAACTTATAATCAGTGTGCGTCTGTGCGAATCGGCGGCAAATCTCACTTCAACGCTTTTCACATCGTAAAAATTGCAGAATTGCTGTTTTATTGTAAAATTATCGGATTTAAAATGCATATCGTATAGGCCTATGATGGAATAAAAATATATTTGGTCACACAGCATTTGTTTACAAGATGATTTTTCACATTAAAACTGCAAGAAGATTTGTCTTTATATGTGTAAACTAGCTGATCTGAATTGTACACGGTTTTAACTGACTACTGAATTCCCGTACGTAGGACGGGCTAACACCTCGTCACTATTACTTCAAAAGCTTTTATAAAATGTCACTTACAATAGGAACTCCATCGTCGTCTAGCACCTCTCTACTAAGGTCCATGATGTCCAGGGCCAGTTTGGCGATACATCTAGCATGATCTCTGCAGGGCTCTGGCAAGCCACTGACGGCCATGTACTTGTCTCCAACTGTTTCTACCTGGAAACGAGAGAAGTAGAGCAATTAGACAATCTTATATAACAATAATAGTTGAAGTTTTTGGAGCTGAACATTTTCTCTATTCTCTATCACCTTCCTATTTGGAGGCCATGAAACATCTACCATAATTACTGCAGGTTTCTAGCAATCCACTTACAGTCTTTATTTTGCACAAACGGTCTCTATCAAAGGATGTCTTTTCTAATCAGGGAAAGGTTTACAGTATTAAAAGATTTTGATGATTGTATATCTTCATCAATACTGCCGTATATCAATTTCCTCCTATATTCGTGAACCTCACCTTTGTCAAAGGTCTTAAGGATTTTTGACAACATTACCGTGTGTATCTCATCACATGAATGTATTTTGATAATTGTATATCCCTTTTCCTCTGTTTTCTTGAACCTCAGCAATCTCAAAGGTCTTAAGGATTTTTTACAACATTGCCGTGTGTATTACATCACATGAATGTATTTTGATGATTGTACATCTTCATCAATACTGTCGTATATCCCTTTTCCTCTGTATTCTTGAACCTCACCAATATCAAAGGTCTCAGGGATTTTTGATTATCTTGCCGTGTGTATTACAGCACTAGAAATTTGGTAATATTCTAAGTGGGTCTTGGCTGTGTGGCCCAAAAACGCACATAGAGTTTGCAGATCGTAATCTGTTCCAGGGCTTGGGTTACCTTTGAATCTCCTTTATCCTCAGCAATCTCAAAGGTCTCAAGGATTTTTGACAACATTTGACAGCCCAGTCAGCCATAAACGTATCATGTTTGTGTTTGTCAGAGTTTTACATAGAAAATCAAAATGTATTTCAAAAAATATAAGAGTGTTGCAGCAACTAATGTTAAAATATTAGATACTTCGAGCAAATACAGATTCGTGTACTTTATTCCTGAAGCCTATAGGATAAGAGAATGTCCATAACACCAATTACGACAGCTGATTTCAGTAGTGAAACTATGAAATGTGCAATGGTACATTGCAACATTGGACATTTTTTATTGCTATGTCATATTTTTAAATGGTTACCCAATCCTTTACAAAGATAGGTTTTAATCAAAACGAAATTTTGAAGTTAAAGAACTATTTTACCTTGTATACGTTGGGATTCTTCTTCGGGTCAGTGAGGACGTCAAAGCGTGTGTACAGTCTGTTCAAAAGATTGACAATCGCCATTGCTCCTGTAGCGTCTGTGTGTCTGGCGCAATATTTGCTGAACCCGACTATACCGGAGAACATGACGGTGACAGGGTCGTACCGCTTGGGTGGGACTGGGCGACAGTGGCGGAGTTCGCTTGCAACACTGATGGGTAGAACAGAGTAGAGCAGCCTGCAGGAAAAAACACATTGCATGAGAAAGTGTTTTTGCATAATTGACTTTGGATACTGCAGGTAAAATTATCTCTGCCACAGAGTATACTGTGTTTCAAAACGCAACACAAATTACAAGTAGCCTATTGTGAGACACCTTTTAACGACAAAACAAGATCATATAAATAAAGTAAAAATCAAATAAGTAAAATTTTCAAAAACTGTATTCACTTTTTGAACTATTACACATCACTGTTGGTATATTGTTCCTTAATGTGCAAATTTTGTATTTTTTTGTTCTTTGATTTTATGTATTAATACTGTATAATTTGTCATTATAGCGGTTTTGGGTAATATACCTGTAGCTATTGTAAATTGTTCAAATAAATAAATATATTGGTGTACCCGCTTTATCTACGTCAATGACGATCAACTGATATGCATTGTTCCATAATTATCTATGGGGTTTGTTGTTATTGGAAATTTATTGTAATAAATGAAACTAACATAGAGTTTTCACCACGAATACTTGAACAGAACCGGTATGGATCACAAACATACAAATGATGTTGCTCGCCCGAATCCTATACTAATATCATTGACGTGGATTAGATTTTTAAGCAATCTATAATATTAAAACGAAACAGTGTTTTTTTTATTTCAAGATTCTGAATCAACCACTCGATGGATTTTCATGATTTTTGTGTTGAAAGAAAGATAATTTTGAGAACTAGGGAATATCGAAGCCATAATTTTAGTTTAGGGTCCCAGTTTTTTAGAAAATAAGTTTTAATTTTTAAAAAGTATAGCAGCCGACGCTAAGATTCTAAACTAGCTTTTGGCATAAAATAATTTGCTTAACATAACAGCTGTAAACATTCAGCTTTTGTGTCACAAATTCAGCATTTGGATAAAAATGTAAAGACATACTTAGGGTTGACTTATTTATACTATGTGTAATGCTAATCATTGATACGTTCAATTCTTCTGTAAGAGGATGACAGATTAATTAAAATACATAGTAAAATACTAGGATGTTAAAATTATTTTTTAAAGCAGTCTTTGTAATCTTCGATTTGTTTTAGAGCAATATAATTTGTTTTAACTAACAGCTGGTTTCATATAAACTATGGAACTATGAGGTTATTTTATTTACTCTTATTTTGTCATTGATTATAGGAAATAAGTAAGATTAGTAGAGATAATTAGACCACAGTTTAAACCCCAGTTTCAACCAAAATTAATTAAACCACTGTACAAATCGAGGCTCTGTACACGAGTCTTAATAAAAAAGGATAAATGCAAATTATATTACTGCTCCAATTTTCAAGGAAAGAATATAAAAATAACAATGTTTACATGTTTTAATTCTTCATGGTAGCTTTTTGTTTACAATAAATGTTTGTCTGCTTTAACTTTGTTTGGATTAGGCCCGGAAATATTGATGTCATAAAAAGAATAATCAGGAATCACGATTTTAAATTACCACCACAACCTCAGCCGGGTTTTATACAAAGATAAACAGATGGATATAGATGGACATAGATTGAACACAACGTCAACATTGACCAAGGATACTGCAATTAGACAAACCATCCTTTTATGAAATCGTGTTCAGTTGTGGCTACGTTTGGGAGTGCCTATCAGGGCCCCCAAACGTGAAAATATCACTTTTATTTCAACTATGAATATATTGTAGTTTAAATTAACTGATATGGGAAATTACGATGTACATTTATTCAATGAGGGTGGGTAATTATCGAGGATAGAACTGATAACGGTATGGATAATAAACATTGACAATTACGTCATTAGCTTTACTAGCGTGTTTATTAGCGAATTTCCCTATAGGGAAGTAGCTATTACCGTAGGTCTCATGGTAAGACCTAGGCCCGGGACCGATTTACTTTTTCATTTTGATGTCCCCAGAGGCCAAAAACACCATTCGTTCAAATTTTTATATATCTATATATAGATATATATATATATATATATATATATATATATATATATATGTGTGTGTCCATCCGCACGATAACTTGAGTAATTTTTGTCCGATTTTGATAAAATTTGGTTTGAAGGTGTAAGGCGGGATAAACTCGAACGAGTTCGCGAACCAGCATGATCGGACTATGGGAACGGGGGTTTACGGGGGGTTTTATGGGGTAAAAATAGGTTTTTCCCATTTTTGACCCAAAAAAAATAAAATTTTGCAAAATCTTTTCAAACCATTTTGTAGAGCTTAAAAAAACAAATAATTTAGTATATTGAAGTGTTAGTATGCGCCTAATGGTTACGAAGAAAATTCCAAAAAAATGTAAATTTTAAATTCCCATGTTATTCTTATGGAGAATGAGTAAACTGTTGTAGTTTGCTTGTTTATGAACATATTTTGATCAAATTTGGAAAATGTTTTTATTTCTTACTAACTATTAACATTTTACAAAAAAAAGTTTTACCCTCCCTGATGCAGCAAACCTAAGAACCTGTTAAAATAATTCTATTTAAATAGGAAATAAATGTTAAATTTTTAAGTAGACATTTTAGTGTAAATCCAATCAGACATATGGAAATTCGCTTAGTCTGCAGGTTTGCTGCGGCGGGGGTATTTACGTTTTATATTCTTACTACATGAGACCAGTTCTTTTTTTTCAAATGAACTTTATTTGAACCAAACAGCTGTTTCAAAACAAACTGTTATTGTTTTTACTTTTCTTATTTGTTTACACTTATTTATTTAGCAATTAATGCAGTGAAATTGATATAAAGGATAGGTGTGACGATTAGTTTTGACGTTAGGACACCAAAGTTAAATTATGTGTACTGTGAATTTTATTGGATATTATCGTTTTATTTTAGGTCGTTTCTATTCAGACCTACTGGAAATTGTGTATAGTAGTTGTATTGTGGTGATAATAATTATGGAAGAGGCAGGTATGCTATGGAAGGTGGTATGACTAGGTCTACACACTTCTCAATTGAATATTACTCTCTCTCTACTGTAGGCTACTTATAATCAGTGTGCGTCTGTGCGAATCGGCTGCAAATCTCACTTCAACGCTTTTCACATCGTAAAAATTGCAGAGTTGCCGTTTTATTGTAAAGTTATCGGATTTAAAATGCATATCGTATAGGCCTATGAGGGAATAAAAACATATTTGGTCACACAACATTTGTTTACAAGATGATTTTTCACATTAAAACTGCAAGAAACTTTGTTTTTATATGTGTAAACTAGCTGATCTGAACTGTACATGGTTTTTAACTGACTACTGAATTCCCGTACGTAGGACGGGCTAACACCTCGTGTTAAATAATGTTTATTTTCGGGCTGGAAACATCATTTGCTTATTTTAACGATTCATACAGTTTCTGTTCAAGTATTCGCGAGTTTTTACAAGCAAATTGATATGTAACTTTAATTAATAGACATGGATGGCTAAACAAATCATTTATCTATCACTGTAAACCATTTATTCAAATAACGTATCTAAATTACAATATTCTTTCATAAGTCTTAAACTTCAAAACTTGTAGGAACATTTATTAAGTCGTAACAATTATTTTGTGTAATTGATCATAACTGTATCACAAAAGTTTGGACGATATCTGTTAAACTATTTTGTTAAAATAGTAAAACATTTAAATTAAAACTACTGCTTCCATAAATTTTGAAAATAACCTATAATGCGAGGGTTATAGATAAGTCGAAATTAATAACCATACGTTTTTAAATTAATATTAATTGGAATAAAAAATCTTCCACTTAAGTTAAATAACCTAAGTAATTACCACAAACAAAAAACAACGAACAATGGCTACATAATTTAAAAAAATTATATAAGGATGATTTATTGACTATCAATAGTTTACGTACTATTTTCTTTTAAACAAATATTATAGATTAAAATAACTCACAAATCTATATTAAGTTAATTGAATTTATTTAAAAATCTAACTACAGTATTATTTTTAGTTGCAAGTAAAAACAGACAGTATAGTAAAGCCACCTCGCGGCGAACTGCTGAACTAACTACTCTTGTCGATAATGTAGAATGTCACAACAGTACTTGTCTTTGTTAACACTAGCCATCTGAATATTTTTTTATTGTTTCAAAAGCTTGGTAAGATTAGTTTTTTTAACGTTAAAAATAATTCGTCTATGAGTATATATGTAATATAGTTAAAGCAATAACTACTTTTTGCACTGAGCTTTTTTGTGAATTATGGATGGCAACAATCTTTACAAAAGTAACTAAAAATGTCAAAACTTTAAAAAAAATTTAAACAAAAATTCTGATTAAAACTAGCTTAGATAAGTTTATTAACGAATACATGATATTGATTTATAAAAGTACTAGATTACCCTTTGTTGTTGAGTAGTAATACACATTGTGACACGAATGGTCTTTTCGCAAATGTTTACCTATGTTCGTGTTTTGTTTATGTGTTTTGAAGATTTTAAACTTCGTAGGAGTGACAATCAAAACGTCTAGGGCTTGATAATGACACATTAAAAGGGCTGTAACCGGTCGCCATTCATACGACGAAGAATTAAATTGGCGACAAGATATTTTACATCTTTTATAGTATAATTTTTATGCTTTTAAAGAATCAGTCGTGATCTTTTCAATGCTTTTTATAATGTAATTGCATATTTCTTATCACATAAAAGAAACGCTAATGAAGTTATTAAAAGTTAAGCCATGACTGTTCTAATTGTTTACAGTTAAGATGACATCTCAATACCCAATTGGTTTCTTGCCTGCTTCAAGATTGTTGTTTCAATCCTTCCCAACTGCAACTAAGTTAGTTTTAACTCAATTTCTTTAGGAAAGAATAATGTATTACCTATAGTTTAAAAGTGGTATAACAAATTCTAAAATATGATATCTTTTATTAAAATATTTTAAAAAAAAATTACTCCTGGGTCTAGTTTGCCACCTTTAAGCACTATTTTATCTTTAGGGCCTAAATTCAATTTTTTTATTGAAGTTTAGTTTAGACGATTAGAGAGTGTTTAAACGATACATTGGGCAGTGTGATGTAGGCATATTATTCATTTAGTCATATTGTTTTGCTTTGTAGAATAAAACAGCTGCGTAAAGTGATTCTTTTCGTCCCGACCTCAATTTTCACTTTCTTTGGCTTCTCCTCGGTCGGAAAAAAGTCGAGTGTTGAAAAGACACTTTTTCCCCGTGTGATAAACAATATTTTTCTTCATGTTGTAAAATTATTTAAAAAACGAAAATGATTTTTTGTCATACTGCAGCAAAACAGCAGTTTTTAATAATGAGTTGTAGGTCTAATGTCAGCTGTTGTAAACTCAGCTATAAATTGAGATTTTAAGCAATTCCATGTATCGATCGATTTAATTGGTTGTAGCTTATTTAAGCAATATTTTCAATAGTTTGACATAACGACAGATAGTACACTTAAACAATCACAAAAGACGAAATGATTGAATCACTTACTAAACAGCTATTTGTTTGTATTAGCAGAATAAAAAAAAAAGTTGAATGTGGTTTTGGGCGAGTACGTAAAATATAAAAATAATCTAACGATAACAATCCAAATTTCTGATGAAGATAATAAACGCCCTACAATCAGGGGAGAAATCACGAAATTGAGTGAGAATATTTGTTTCAAAATTAAAATCTCATCCAAATCATTTGGCACTGAACTTGCTTGACAACACCGACGCAATTTATAGACTTAAAAGACCTTCAATTCTAGACCTGGATTATAGGGAAGTAGCTATTACCGTAGATTTCATGGTAAGACTTAGGCCCGGGACCAATGTACTTTTTCATTTTAATGTCCCTAGAGGCAAAAACTACCATGATCGGACCATGGGAACGGAGTTTAACGGGGGGTTTTATGGGGTAGGAATGGGTTTTTCTCATTTTTTACCCTTAAAACACAAAATTTATCAATTTTCCTTCAGACATTTTTAAAGAGCTTAAAAACAAATAATTTATATACCAAAGTGTTTTTGTAAGGTGATTTTTTACGGAGAAAAAAAAAATTGTTAATTTAAAATTTTTATGAAGTGTTTCGTTTCAAAATAATTGTCGTTGACAGTGCTCAGCAGCTATTTTAATACCCGGAACGTTAATTGTATTTGATAACATCTTATTGTTCATCATTTTCATGGAAAAGATTGTGAAGTAAAAGAAGGAATGTGATTTTGAGAGGTTTTTACCTGTCGGTCTTCTGCTTCTCCGAGTCCAGCACGCGGTAGGTTTGCTGCAGCTTGTCCGTCAGCAACTCTAGGTTCCTGGTCATCTTGTACTCAGCCTCGAACTGTTCAGACATCAGGACGAGGTCTCGAGTAGCGTCGTGTACAGGGATGTCGCTGATGTAGAGACCTCGTCTACACAACAATGCTAGTCTTATATCGATAATCTAGTAGTAAAACTGTATCTAAAACTAGGATTTGTATTGAGTGGGCCTATTTTGGGTACACTTCCATATCTGTTGGCACAAACAACCGAATGAAAATATCGATCGATAATTCGATTATTCAATATATCGTTTGGTTAGTTAGGTAAGGTTAACATAACCTATTTAACTAAACGATATATCGAATTAAACAATCGAATAATCAATATTACTCATTGTTTGTGCTAACAGATATGGAATTGTACCCCGTATTTTTTCTAATATGCAAGTTTAGTAGGAACGTTGAAGCTTTTATATTAGTGGCTATTTTTCCAAATAAGATCAGCTGTTTCTTAAGTAGAACGAATTATCTTTGGTAAAAGACGCATAAATTTGTTTTCCATAAAACTTTGTTTTGTGGAAAGTAGAAGAAAATATTTGTAATTTTCTCAAATTATAATTCTTTTCAATTGGTTAATTTTTGTAAAATAATTTCTCTAAATTGTTCTTAAAAAATATTGGTATATTTTAAATATAAACAGAGTGATTGATATGAGCGTGCCAGCTGTTTTATTCGAAAACTATGAGAGATATCAACAAAAGTTAAATGGTAAGTGCCGTGGATTTTTTATTTTATAAATTGTCCTCAAGTCGATAATAATATTTTAGCCCCTATTTTTCCAATATGGCCATCAACTTTGATTTTTATTGTGGATCTTTGATTTTTCTTTGTATTTTATTATGTATTCCTGTCAAAAATGTCTTAACACGATTTTACTCTTGTTTTTTTCTCATAAAAACTCATGTGAAACTTCGGCTCGAGAAAAGTTTTCGTTGTAAGCGCGCCAGCTGTTTTATTAAAAAACTATAAGAGATATCAAAAAAGTTAAACAGTGCCTTGGATTTTTTATTTTTTAAATTGTAGTCAAGTCGAAAAAATATTTCAGCTGCAATTTTTCCGATATGGCCGGTAACTTTGATTTTTTGTTCTCATGGAACACCCTGTATTTTATGATGTATTCCGGTAAAAAATTTAATTTGAAGACGATTTTACTGTCGTGATTTTTTCCATAAACCTACCCGTTTTAGAGATGGTAATAGTTTCAATACGTGCAAAAAATAAAAAGTCGGTTTCAGCAAAGAAATGTAATCATAGCAGTCTACCTTTACATAAACTTTAAACAGGATTTTTACAGATTTATTTACAGATTTTTACAATTTAAGTGTTTACCGTTTAGCTTTAATGTTATTAGATTCTACAAAAGGTGTTCAAAATGAAATCCATTTTGTCCTAGACAAATGCGAGCTCTTTTAACAACACTCTTTGTTGCGTTCTCATCATCATGTATCATGTTTCGTGGAACGGTTCTTATGGTGACATCAACTTTCTCCCTAAGTTCATTCACAGACGTACTCTTATTTGTATACACTTCGTTTTTCACGTAGCCCCATAAAAAGAATCTAATGGGTTAAGATCTGGGGGACGAGCTGGCTACCTAATTGGTCCATTTTTTCCTATCCACTTGTTTGGGAAGTACATATGTAACAAGTCCACTTCACCAGTGTTATTTGGAGAGGTCTTGCTGAAAATATATCATTTGTCTCCGTGCAAGAGAAAAATCCTGTAAGCAATCTGCTAGACTCTCTGACAGGAACTCAATGTATACCTAGCGCCATTTAAAGTCCCCTCATAAAATCGAATCACTAGGACTTTGGAACTTAGTAGGGCACACCAACAGTTAATTAAAAATATTTGCTGAAGACAAGTTTCCACTACATGTAATGAGTTTTCTTGGGTCCAGTAGTGATTACTTTTCCGGTTGAACATGCCCCTATTGGAGAAGTTGGCTTCGTCTGTCCAAATAATATGAGCATAGAAAGAGTTTAATCGCTCAACCTTACACTCAGCCACTCACAAAACACAAATCTGCGACCCTCATCACCAACTTGCAAGGTTTGAACTGGAGTGTACTTGTAATCGTGGTACTTATGTTTTTTTCAAACCCTTTTGCACTCGATAATATGGAATCGCCAACATCAAAGATATTTGTCTTACACTAATTTTCGGATTTGATTCAACATATGCTAAAATTATGGTTTCTTCTTCTTCTGTAATTTTTGATTCGCGTTGTTTGCGTTTTCCTGCGAATAAACCATAATTGTTTAAGTGTTTCATAATTTTAGAAATAAGTTTTCGACTGGGAACTTGCCTGTCTGGAAACGTATCTGCGTACACTTGAGCTGCTAGAGTAGAATTGTTATTACTATTGAAAAACATTCAACCATGTCTAGCTTTTCCTGATTGGTATACTTCATTATAGCTCAAATTTAATACTTACTTCATATTAAAACAAAACTTAAAATCCGTACTCCACAATAACTTACTTTAATACAGCAAAATAGCACATGTAACACTAACGTGTTGACTTTCCCATGACAGATAGATTTGAAGTAGACGGTGTTAATTGTTGAACAGCTGATTTCAGTAATTCATCAAAATTATGCGATTTTTATTAGTCAGAATTGTTAAGTGTAACAATTATTACTTTAATATTAAGATTAAAGATTAAATTTGATCTTAAGATAAAGTTGGTGGCCACATTGGATAAATGGTGGCTAAAATATTATTTTTTGACTTGACTAAAATTTTTAAATTAAAATCCAAGGCACTTACCATTTAACTTATCTTTTGTAGTTTTTGAATAAAACAGCTGTCACGCTTGCATTGAAAATTCTTCTTAGCCTATGCCGAAATTTCACAACTTTAACCATTATTATCTTTGAAACGGTTAGGTTCATTGAAAACGTCCTGATTTAAAATTTACTGCTGCTGACGACTCGCTTTAATGGGTTCAAAAGATGTATAATGAATTAATATCCTTTATCCCAAAAGGATCTACTTTAGTAACAGAAATTTTCGAATGGGCTAGTTCAATTTCTGTTGAATATCTTAAGGCTCACCTGACTAGATCATCCAAATTCATGACACTGGGGTAGCATACGAACATGATGAGGTCAGTTTCAGGTATTGAGAGCATCTGGCCCTGTAAACAGGACAAAACAGTCGTGAGTTTGCTGTTGAACAATGCTAAACCTTTAATTATGTATTAGTTATAAAGCAATCGTATTAAAATCGTTTTATTCAAACTTAAAAAGTGATTAAAAGTCAGGGGTTAGCATATAAAAATGTAATACTTGTTTGTGGTGTCTTACTTGGTGTATTTTGATTTGGACACGCTTTTTAGTAGTTGTAGACCATGTAAACTAATTGTCATTTTATTTTACATCTGTGTTTATCTCCAAACACAATTTCATGAGTTAAAAAATAGTTTCCAAATAGAGAACAATGCATTAAACATATATACATATATAGAATTCGTAAAAGTATATTTGAACTGATTGGGCCCTCTCTATTTCCAAGGAAGAATAACTATAAATTGTTATACCATGTTTACATTAAATAATATCTTGGCCAGGATTCTAGAAAGAGAGAACCAGAGTTCTTGGACACCCTGTGTCAAGAAAATTACACAGTGTGTGGTTGTGTTCAGTCAATAAATAAACACTTTATAATCATCAAACCATTTAAATTCAACTAATTTTGAATAAAGAATCAGTAATTAGATAAGAAAATGTTTAAAAGGCCTAATCAGCAAATACGACCGATCTTATCGAATTAAAAACCTAAAACCCCTTTTGAATAATAAAAAATCCAAATATTTGTAATAACTAAAACTACACATTTTGTAACCCCTTACTATAGTAGGAGTTGAGACACATTATCGTAAAGGTGTTGTACTGGCCGTAGCAGCATGGGGTCGTGTAGGTGAACTGGAATTGGTCGTAAAGATGATGGAGTGGTTACCGTTACGACTAGGATCGTAAATTGATCATAACTTGCAAACTATCAAACTGTTATAGTGTGGCGAACACGGAACTACTATATAATGTGGATAGAATTGTGTTAAATTGTTAAGTGAATAAATGGATATTAGAACGGAAACGGTATGGATCATAAACATAAATAAATGAAGAAATGGCGTCACTGGAAAAAATCTTACGCTTATAACCCTAAAATCTGGTTTTATTTTTTTATAGTTCCTTTTTAATAATTATACAAACATGTTTACTTTAATGGTGATGTAATTGTTCATGTTTGCGATCCATTCAGTTGCTGTTCTAAGAGTGAGTGCACCTAAAGTCCTAACAATCTGGTTTTTTGAACACATCAGATTTTCAAAACATCTATTGCCAATAAGCCTTTGGTACTAACCACCATCTAAAAATGATAATTTTGAACTGCTTTTGATGAATACGATTGATTTAATGCTCTTTGGTTACCCAATGTAAATTTGGGTCAAAAAAAGATTCTTCTCAAAACTTCTTAATGATTTTTTTTTAAATGAAGCCTCCCTCCATGGTTCTGCGATGTTTAATGCCTATAATAAAGGGCCACTCGCAAGGAGACCAGCTATTTATTTTGGAATGTGAAGGATAACACACGATTATCATAAGAAAGGGTAAAAATGAAGTGTTTTTACAGTCTGGAAACGTTTAAATCAATTCTATGTTATTTTACAGCGATATTATTACCATATACGAAGATTCAGTGATAAAATTGTTGGAGCAATTCTAAGACAGTCTTGTTTATTTTTAAGATAACAAAACATATGATACTGTTTACATCAAATTATTTAATCTTACGTGTTTTTCATACAATGTTTTAACTAATTAATTTGTTTACCAAAATTCTTGATGTAGCTCAAATTGTAACAAAAATATTGTGGGTAAATAGTTGCACTTTCAGGTCATCAAAATACTAAAAGTATCAGTGAACACATAAGTTGAAGATTTTCCGTGCTTGAACATCTTGCTTCTAAACCTGTACAGTAGTGTACAGACCTTTTGAGTCTTCAAAGAGCGCATTGAGAGATGTCTGTGAAAGAAAAAAAGAGAAATAAAACTTATCTCTATTAGATAGTCAAAGTATCTATATGAAATACCTGTTTCATTATCTTTACCCAACTATACAGTCAACTAACCATAACTGCAACTGTTATTAGGCTATCATATTCGGTTCTACCTTCAGTCTGAGAGAAGAGAAGTCCTGAGATGACACGTTGACGACAACGTCTTCCTTTGAACGCAGGACGTAGACTGTGTTGATGTGAGCCAGGATGTTATCGAACGTCAGGTCAAGGTGAGGTCGTACCTGGGAAAACAGGAGTAAGTTCTTGAAACACACAAGAAGGATCTTAAAAGATATAAGGAAGTGCTTGAAAGATGTTTATACTGAATTATATGATGGCCAGGATCACGAAAGAAGGGAGTTTTTGGACACCCTGTGTAGATAAAATGTTATGCTCAGCCACAATTAATGTAATCTTCAAGTTAGGAATAGGGAGTTTTCGAGGAAATAGGAAAATATTAAGAAACTAAGAGCTAACATCCCGTGAAAACGGATAAGTATAATAGAAAATAGGAAAATATACCTGAGAAGAAGAGTTGGATGTTTGAAAAATAGGAATGTTCTTGAGATAGTGACAAAGAAATGTAAGATAAAGGAAGTAAACACCCTCAAAGAACAATGATAGTCACATTGGAAATATGAAAAACTACCTTCGTGGTAGGGGTTCTTTAGAAAATAAAATAGATTCTTGAGAAAATCAAACCAAATCTGGGAAAATAAGAGTAAATATCCCGAAGAAATAGGAAAAGATTAGAAAATATAAAAGGACGTCTAAGAAGTAGGAGTAAAGTTCTTGAAAGATATTAGGGAAATTGTTGAGGAAGAGGGGATAATTTGAGGAGACAGTAAATGTCGTATAGACATAACAAATGTCTTATTATTGAAAAATATCATTTTGCTAATTGAAAGCTATAGGCTACATTTTATGAATTGAGCTTTTTGTTATTTATACATAATGAGAGAACTTATATGGTATAAAGAGAATTCTCTCAGGATCCCTTACAGAAAGGATAATCTTGCAAGATAATGTCTTAATACACCTTTGCAGAATACCGTATTCACTATCATCTAAGTAGATTTACGCAGGTGAATATATTACAAATTAATCTTTCACTATTTAACTTGCTAAATATGTTTTTGAGTCCTTTCAGTTGTATCCCTTTCTTTTCTTTGTATATTTATAAACTGTTTGAATAAATTATCAATGTCTATATTATAGTCAAAAATGAATATTTTGAATTTTGGAGTTAAATCTTTACATTTAGTTTTGAAACCTAATTTTTATTATAGTCCATTTATAAAGAAAAACAATCAATAAAATTTACTAAAAGTTGTTCTCAATCACTATATACTTCATTAATATTATTAAAATTTGTGTGACATTCGAGATCGTTAAGGTTGTAAGAATTTATCAAAACTTATTACAAATACCACAGTTTCTAAATACAGTAATTACACACATGTATCAAAACAATTAGTTTTCGTAATATTAAAAGTATTATTCGTAACGCTTCACTTTGATTTATTATTGGCGAAGCGAAGGAATTTGTTAGTTGACTTATGTGAAATGTGGAAATATGGAATGAATAAAACATCTTTATAATCTTTGTGCCAAACTCTACCATTTATCAAACGTAAACAATCCAATTTTAATAATTGAAAAGCTTATTAGCAGGATGAAAGTTATATTTCAAATGCTTTCTTCTCAGTAAATTAGGTTACAGATAGGGGTTTCGTTTAACATAAACAAATTAAAACACTTGTGAGTTTTCTGCGAAGTTTAGGTTCGGCCAGTTTATTTGTGCTTAATCCATTGTTTTTCATTACCATAAATAAAACTGAACAGAACTCAACTAATCTTACCTGAGCTATAGGATTGAACGTGTTACTTTACTATGTCATATAGATGGGGATGGACGGGCCCTGATATTTCTGCATCGTTTACACGAGGCCGTAGCAGGCAGGTTACCCCGGGCAAGTTGCCTCAGGGATCTTAAAATACACTGAGACAGGTAACCTGTATGCATACTGACCTCATCTAAACTCGCCTTTCAGGATATTTTCGATCTTCAAGATGGGAACTGCATTTAATTTGTGATTTCCTCGACAACACTGTGCACTGTAAAAGAGTAGCGACCATATTCTTGAAAGGTTGTTTTGTGTGATATAGAAACAAAGTGGTGGTGATATACCGGGACTAGTATGTCTGTAATGCGAGTCCCAGGTTGTAGGGCTGCAGGCATAACCCTGGCCACAGCACTGCCACACTGCAGAATACTCATGGAGCGGTCGAACAGGAGGTGGAAGGGGAACACTCGGCAAAAAGTCTTCGGCGACACCTTAGGTTCTGTAAGTCATAAAGTGATATTAGAAAAGCATAAAAAAGTCATAAAAGATCAAAAAATGTTACAATGTCACACTGAAGGAAACTCAAAGGTAGTCCAACAATAGGTGGAACATCCTCGGCGACGCGAAACGTTAGGTTTTGAAGGTCATAAAATAGTGTTAGAACAGATCCAATTAGAAAACTTTTAAAGCATTAATAGAAAAAAGTAAAGTAAAAAAGTAGGCGAAGAAAGGTTTTCTTAACTTGAGAAAAGCCTAATGTCGGAAAAAATATAAAAGTTAAAAGTAAAATTTGAAAAGTTAAACAAACAAAATTAGATAGAAATAGGAACAAAAAACAGTAGGAGAGTGAAAGTAACCCAAGAATACCGGAATTGAAAATGTACGAGAGAACTTAAAAGAACGAATAAATTAAAACTACATCAGAAATAGTAACAACTTGTTTTGTAACGAAAATCTATAAACTAGTTCTAGAAAAGTAAAATAAACAATAAAGACATAATCCAAACGATAAAAATGTTTAAGAGAAAACTTGGAAATTCAAATTATATTTTAGAAGTTGAAAACATTTTAAAGTAAAAAAATGACAATGTTAGAATAGTTTGAGAAATAAGAATGGTGAAAAAACATAATTAAAATGGCCTATCAAAATACTAAAACCATACAATAAAAGTTAATAGTAACACTATTTATATTTTAAAATTGTGTGCAATTGCTAACTTACAAATAGATAGGTGATATAATTATTTTCGGGACCGAATTTAAGAACTAATCTTAGAGGAACTTTTGCAAATATAAAAAAAAGGCTTTTGTTACCTTCGGAGTTTTAGTAAAAAAAGGAACTATTATTACCTTAACTTAACTTTCATATTTAATAAAACAACTTCTGACATAAAATAATTAATTATCAATGTAAAAAAATAAATAAATGTTAAGAGTAAAGTCCTTGGTAGGTCAACCATGATTAATAATAATTTTATTTCAGAATCAAAAGGTTTTGTAACAGGTTTTGTGTGAAAGGGGCTTAGAGGATGAATAAACGATTTTCCTATTAATTCTGGAGTACAGGCAAAATGGTCTTTGGGGACCCGGGTGATAAATGATTATAGAAACGCTTATCGACATTCTAAGCAATATTACTGCGAGAAACTTTGACAGGGAAAACAATGTTGCAATTGTCAAAAGGTTTATCGATTTGGAATTGTCAGATATGATAACAATCTAAAATATAGTTGAGGTGAATAATATAACGAGAAGTTTCCCCGCTTTTCTCTAGAGTACAATAGAGGTATATTATTTTCTTTGAGCGAAATAGGATGGAATTCTTTATGTACTGTACAGATGAATAACTATATAAATTGTTGATCATGAAACCTATCCAGTTTACTAAGTTTATTGAAATGAATAAAACAAATGTTATTTTTTTAAATGTACACAAATTAACTTAAACAACCTAACTTAACAAATTACTTTAGATGAAATATATAAATATAATGAGGGTAGATTATGATACTCCACCGGATTATGGGTATAAAAAATTGTATGTAACAAAGTGGTGAAAGAGCATTGAATTGGTTCTCTGATGTTAGTTTTTCCCAACAGTTTCTAAAATATTTCAAGGAACAATTAAAAGAACATAATTAAAACAAACCCTAGTTTGATCTCTGTATTTGTGATTATTTGTTAAATTCTCCGTGAACTTTTGAACTGCTTGACAGTCGAAGACTACCTTCCTAATAAGGTAAAGTTATGTTAAACAGGTTGGTCTAATTTTAAAAACACAAGATACAGATATCTATGAGCCATGTATTAATGGAATTGTGGATGATTTATAGCCATGCTATATGGATGCTATACTCCCTGGTGTGGATTAACGTTCGCACTAGTGAATAAACGACTATCCACAGTACTTATCTGATAATTAGACCAATTCTTAAATTACAATGTAAAAAATGGTTTGGATTCCACTATAAACTGTAGGTCCCATATTTGTCATTAGTATGGACTATTAATTAAAAAGCCTGTTAATGGAACATGTCGTCCTTAGTCACTATCAAGAGTATCTCGCCACTCATCCTATACTCATTTTTATTCATACTTGGCTTAAGATACCTTACCTACGTATGGTCGCCATTTTAATAAAAAAGTATTTAAGTACTAAATTTTGAGACCCGTTGATCAAAGCCCGGTCATTTTTCTAAAAGATTACATTTCTACTTTTCAATAAAGAACTCCTTCGACTTAAAGCCACATAACTTATTTAAATCATAGAAAAACTAGTTATGAAACAGTATTTCACTAGAACATAGTATAACATTATACAACATTATACAACATTGTACAACATTGAAATGCAAGTATTTAATTACCCAGAGACAGTGTTTCAATCTCCTCGAAGGCAGGTGGTGCGATCCTCCCCGAGTTTGACTTCTCTGTGATTAGGAACTGTATGTGGTCACATTCCTCCTTAGTCTTCAAAATGTCTACCTGTACCTCGGTGTCGTGAAGTTTACTCGCCACGGTCTAGAAACATATTTAGACTTGAGAATATAACAATTTGTGAGAAGAGTTTATTTTTATAATTAATACGTTTAAACTATCTGCTAATGTTGCAGTGCCAGCACAGCCTCCTCCATACAAGGCCGCGTTGAAACAAGAATGGCAACGCCGCAGCTCCGGCCTACTGAAACAGCTGTTACACTAGGAATAGTTGGGCAATGTTTGTACAGGCCGTGTTGAAACAAGAATGGTAACACCGCAGCTCCGGCCTACTGAAACAATGTTTACACTAAGTCATAATGGAATAGTTGGACAATGTTAGTACAGGCCGTGTTGAAATAAGAATGGCAACACCGCAGCTCCGGCCTACTGAAACAACGTTTACACTAAGTCATAATGGAATAGTTGGGCAATGTTTGTACAGGCCGTGTTGAAACAAGAATGGTAACACCGCAGCTCCGGCCTACTGAAACAACGTTTACACTAAGTCATAATGGAGTAGTTGGGCAATGTTTGTACAGGCCGTGTTGAAATAAGAATGGCAACACCGCAGCTCCGGCCTACTGAAACAGCGGTTACACTAAGTCATAATGGAATTGTTGGGCAATGTTTGTACAGGCCGTGTTGAAACAAGAATGGCAACGCCGCAGCTCCGGCCTACTGAAACAGCTGTTGCCCTAAGTCATAATGGAATTGTTGGGCAATGTTTGTACAGGCCGTGTTGAAATAAGAATGGCAACACCGCAGCTCCGGCCTACTGAAACAACGTTTACACTAAGTCATAATGGAATAGTTGGGCAATGTTAGTACATACCGTGTTGAAACAAGAATGGCAACACCGCAGCTCCGGCCTACTGAAACAGCTGTTGTCCTAAGTCATAATTGAATGCCTATCTCTACAGGATTATTATTTATGCTTTTACAATTGGCAATAGACCGGCAGGCACAACGTTGCCACAATCCAACGCAGCGGTCTTGTGTTAGAGGGGGCTTTGCGATATTGCACTTTCGTATGTTATATTGAAACCCTATTGTACTTATTACAAGTTTGTGAAGGCATATGAAGTATGAATAACTTATCCTGCAAAGATTTAACCTCACCCTTTTAGTTTTGACTCACGTGGTACTTAAGCAATTATTTTTTGCACTTATTTGCATTTAGCATGGATATAAAAACTAATTTATTTTAAAAATAATAGACGTATAAGTCTGAGGGATGATCAAATGTATTTAAAATATTACTTTCACATATTTTCACCAGACTCCAAGCTATCTAGGTTTTATTCATTCCACTTCCATTCTTGGCTTTGTTATAGCAATATTTACAAGGGTATTTTCAAATAAAACCAGATTCAAATTGTTCAAGAAAATGATAGAAGTGAATAATTAGTAAGCTTGTCAAGGCAGTTTTTTAAACAAACTTCCGATGCGCTAAAAAACTAATGACTTTGAGTAGACTGTGCTTTTCCGTCCTGAATCAACAATTGATAAAACAACAGTGTTATGTTTGCAATGTTCCCGCCCTTTTTATGCTTAAGAATGATTTAATAAATTTACAGTTATTTTTTTTGTACACTCATAATCAAGTTTTTGTCATAAAATATTGAACAATGATTGTTTCATAAAAATTAATAACAATATGTTATTGCAATTAATAATAATTTATACAATAATTTGTCTCAGTTTATGTAGACTTTTACGGTTAGGAAATTATTATACAAATAATAACTTAGTGGTTGGATATCGCACATTTTTGTCTTTGATGTTAGATTTGATTCAACACTTATGAAACTGTGCGATGATAGGGTTCTATGATTCAAACCCCATTCCAACCCCACCTTTTAACATTTCCAATGAAAATATGTTGCAAGAGGTAGATTAACATAGTTGCCAGACTGACAAAACTTTCTCCCATTAGTTTGTCAACAACCCTTACCATTGGTGAAAGTAGCCTTACTATGATATTATAGGGAAAATCACAATAGTTGCAATTACTTTAGAACCGTAATTTTTACAGCAATGGGTTATGCACAAAATATATGTAGTTAAAAGGACTACGTATAAGCGATAAAGTAGAAATAGACTAGTATTTTTCAACTGTGTAACTTATGCAGTACACTGATTTTTAACTGTTTTTGTATAATCCAAAAACATTATTTTCTTAAGAATTGTAAATTACAAAGGATGATCGACGGATTAATGCAAGGCAACATATTTTGTTTTCTTACAGTTAAACCACTATGGGTAATTGTGTAAGGTAAGACATTTTGAGTTAAACATAGATTTAGATCATTTTCCGAGTATGTAATTAATCATGTCTTACTGTAGTTTGAAAAAGAATAAGAAGGTGTAAGGTTTGATGCGGGCCTGCGAAGTGCACATCAAATGAAAACTATGTCGTGGCTTATAAGTTTACAGCAATAGGTCTGGAAAGTCTATGATACCTAAAAGGACATTGACTGGGAAATCGAAAATATAAATGGATTGCCTAGTCACACTCATTATACACTAGTTTTCACTTTTTATAACTTTGGAAATTTCCGGGTTTTATTTAACACTTCACCGACTTCCAAAGTCTATGGATAAAGTGTATTAGTATAACTTAGAACTTATTTTCATATTTAAAAAAATGATTACTGATGTTTAGGTGTGAGCTTTAGTATTAAATAAAACAGATTGAGGAAACAATGTTCTTCCATGTTTCATGTCAGGGCAATAGCCTCTCGAGGGTTACTTAAAAAGATAAATGATCAGAGAGTTACTATCTAAAGCATTATTGCCTCTTAGAGCTTCGCACGTTATTTACCAAGAATATAACCGAGAGTTCAATAGACAATTGCGTTAAAGAATTTATAAATAAAACTTACAAAACCCCCGCCGCAGCAAACCTGCAGACTTAGCGAATTTCCATTTGCCTGATTGGATTTAATCTAAAATGTCTCCTTAAAAATATCACATTTATTCCCTATTTAAACAGAATTAGTTTAATGAACTTAGGTTTGCTGCAACAGGGAGGGTAAACATGTTTTTTTTATGTAAAATTTTAAAAGGTACTGTGGTTTAGTAAGAAGTTAATGTATTTTCCAAATTTGATTAAAATATTTTCATAAACAAGCAAACTACAACCGTTGACTTATGCTCCATAAGAATAACATGGGAATTTTAAAATTAAATTTTTTTTGAATTTTCTCCTTAACAATTAGGCGATTTTGTGTTTTTAGAGTCAAAAATGGGAAAAACCTATTTTTACCCCATAAAACCCAGTTCCCATAGTCCGATCATGCTGGTTCGCGAACTCATTCAAGTTTATCCCGCCTTATACCTTCAAACCAAATTTCATCAAAATCGGACAAAAATTACTCAAGTTATCGTGCGGATGGACACACATATATATATAGATATATAAAAATTTGAACGAATGGTGTTTTTGGCCTCTGGGGACATCAAAATGAAAAAGTAAATCGGTCCCGGGCTTAGGTCTTACCATGAGACCTACGGTAATAGCTACTTCCCTATAGGTAATCGCTAATATGTGCCAGATGGTAGAATTAATTTAATTATACCCAATAAACACGCTATTATTATTAGTTATTTATAAGAAATTAGAGAACAAGTAAAGTAACAATTATTGTTAAGCCATTTTAAGTATAATATTTGTGGTAAAACCAAACGAAAAATCCTAAAATCATAATCTGTTGGGGGGTGCTTACACGGCCGCAAGCCCTCTTTCTATAATCTTACAATATCAACTGTTTTCCGCATTTATATAAAACTTATTAATATAAAAAATTTATATGTAGGAATAATTGTGAAATTATTGATTTAACCAACCAGGAATCGGCACAACGATTGAAAGGTGCTCCTAAAGCTACCATACGAAAAGGCTTATCATCTTAGTTCCTATCGTTAATAGTACCACTAATAGAATATAAAAGCTGTGATGCCATTTTGTATTTCATACAACGCCTGCTCCTTTTTTTTATTTGAACAGTTTTGCCAAAAATTTTGACAGCTCTAAAGATAGGCTACTCTTTTTATTATATACTCTTACCTTTGTGATCGCAACTTCTGCAATGCTTACAATCTTATTAGCATTTTGCCATAATGACAACTAACTACGAAATCCTTATGGCATTTATAAATGCAGACATTAGTTTTTCATGTTTGTATAAGGATTTTAATTAAGTATTCATTCACATTTACACCTCAGCTTACGACGTGTGTAAAACAATATATTTCCATTCAATCAAAAAGTTAATTATTATGAATCTCGTACATAATTCTATAACATATTTTCATGCAAAAATGAACTATGAAACATGACACAGTATGGTTCATAACTACTGATTTTCTCATCATTACGTCGAACGATTTACGTTGACACATCATTGTTTAGCGTACAACATGATTAGAGTCAAATCAACATATTTGCTCGTTATGTTGATTAACAGTGAACAGAAATCATACAAACGCCACGTACTTATTTGATGAGGGGTCAACCATTTTATATTAATTTTTGGTATAATTCGTTATAATACCGGGTTTTCACAAAGTCTTGGCCTGATTTGGTAGCTTTGCTGTACGAAAACCATTAGAGCCACACTTAACTTGTATGCCTTATTTAGTCAAGTTTTATTTAATGAAGTTTGTAACAACTCAACAGAGCTGATTTACAACATTACAGTTATTATTCAATACAATAACGAATCAGAAATGGTTTAGAAGAGAAATCTCAGTGTGTTTTGTATAAAAGTTGTTATTTTAAAATACTATCATGGGTTCATTTGTATGGGTTGAATTGCCGATATAAATGATTACCTCTAGTTTTGTTGAACATTAGTGATTATTAGCCTGAACATGAGAAGGGATATTTTCCACACCGTTAACTTTGATGAATTACTTGACATTTTCGGGCTCCTGTCAGCTCTTCACTAGTCACGTTATGCTGTTTAATCATTTCACAGCTGATGTAGCTTAACTATTGTAATTAATTTCCTTTTGTCTTAAATCGGTCATTATCATTGTCTGTTATACATAGTGAATCATGTAGTCAACAATTGATTTCTGACAAAATTTGTCCTTCATTGATTAAATTTCTATTTTACCCCACTAAACCAACCCCAAGGATTAAAATAAACATATTGTATTTTTTTATGCAGGATGTACCAAAAAGTTCATTTACTGATTCGAATCTCATAATTGTCAACTACAAATATATCATTTTTAAACTCTTTTTGGGGCTATCAGAATTCAAATTGAATTCATTTAAATTGACAGATCATCTTGTGGAAAATGCTGTACTATTTTAAATATCCTTTGTTCTGTTTGAACACATATGTCTCTATTCTTAATAAAAATTTTACATTCCATATGAGCGAAGTTCCTTGATATACAGTATAAGAATAATATCGCTAAAACAAAAAAGTCATATAGTATAATTCGTCAAACTTCAATTTTTTACAATTTGTAGCAACGTTCAAACTCAAAATTTATCCGGTTGTCTTTTACTTTTCAAGCTATCAACTGAAACATGTTCATATAAAACGTATTTTTATTGTTACTCATGTGAAAAATCATGAGTCAGAACGCCTAAAGTGATATACAACACCACTGCAAACAATACAATATTTTTACAATATTTGAAGAAGTAGGGTTCTTCTTTAACTATGTTTGTAACTTGTTGTATTAAATAATTTAAGGCCCTTATTAGACGAGGCAGCCAAGTTGCGCAGCCAGCCGGGCAGCCAGTCGGCCAGCTAGTCACTGGGCATTGGTTCTTATGGAGCTTATTACACGAGGGCAGCCAGTTGCGCAGCCACTGTTTGGCTGCCGACTGGTTGCCGAGCCCGGCGACCGCACAGGCAACCACCACTGGCTGCTCGGTCTGGTCGCGCTCCTGTGTAGCTTACGGATCTTATTACACTGGGCAGCCAGTCGCCCTCTGCCACACACATCAGTAGTAGATAATCACTCGTGGAAGTGCGTTCATCTCTGCCGGTCACATCATTGTGTGTTGTTTTCCTCAGTATTCTTGTAATATAATTGTGTAATTAGTGTAATATAATCCTTTTTCTGTTCTTGATGAAAGAATAGGATGTATATGCATTCTTCTCTTCCTTCATCTTCTCTTTTTCATGAGTAGCAGAAGAAGCAAATATTCATCTCGCATTCTGACAGTGTCTGTTCCACCAACACTGTTCCAGTGTCAACAAGAGACTGGCCTAGTTGGTAATTTTGTGGCTGCCCTGTGGCTGCTCTACTGGTTGCTCTACTGGTTGCTACGCTAGGCAGCCAGACAGGCGACTGGCTGCCCGGCTGGTTGCGCAACTTGGCTGCCTCGTCTAATAAGAGCCTAAGAAACTGAAAGAAAATATAATTTAATTGGAATTAAAAAAACATAAGAGTGTAATGTACAAAAATCAGGAATGAACTATTTATAACTACATTAGGTAACTATGGCAACTCATTAGAATAAACAAAACCAAATTTATACTTTTAAAAACAAATCATTGTCCAGCTGGTTTTGAACAGTGTTGGTGCACTCACCACAGTATCCCCCTGCTAATGATTTAACTTAAGTAACTTAAATCATGATACTTTAAATATGAAATCGTACAGGAAAGCGTACTTGTCTTCCATATTTTGTTTTGATCGCAGGTTTTAATTTGCTTGAACTAGTCTTGGGTGGTTGCTTGGTATCTTTAGGATCATCCGTGCTGCTGCCTGTAGCACTGCCTCCTTGCACTCCTGCCTGCTTTTTTGTCAGCTTATTGAGATTTGTTGCCTCCACCCTTGCGCTTCTTGAATAGAAGTTCTTTACTCTCTTTAGCCCTCCAAACGAGCACCTCTATGTTTTGGAGATCAGCTTTGTACTTTTCGAGCATTTTATCTGTCACTAATAGATCACCTGTCATCACTTCACCCATCTTTGCCATCAGCCTAGACTTTTTCTGAATACTTTAAAACGTTTTACAAGCGAGGTTTTTATGTTATCAACCGTCTTCGTGGTATTGATGGCGTCTAGAACCTCGTTCAAGAAGGGTCGGTTGATAGCAATATGCTGATTGGTATACCCACTCCTCTGGGCCACTGCGGCCGCAACCAAAAATGCCAAGTCTGAGCCCTTCATACTAGCTGTGCTGTGCAGTCGGGAACCCTCAAGTTGGCCAGGCTGGCTGCTCAAGTTAGGTTCTGCATTCACACCGTTCTGGAACACTGGGGTGTGTGTAGCAGCTGGTGTGGCAATGACAGGAGAGGAAGTTAAAGGCTGGAATTGAGGAAGTTGGTTGCTGGAAGTTGGTGGAGGCGTGGCTTGACTGCTACGATCATCCCTGTTGCTAGCTCTGCTTCAAATAGCAGAGTTTATATTTTATGTTTTAATATTGACCTTTCTCTTTCATTGCGGATTTTCTTTATTTGGTGACCTACATATTCACCAAAACTTTTGAATTCGTTTCTCCCTTCGGATGCGCTCTCATCTAATCTTCGCATTGTATCAAAAGCCTTGAACGACAGGATTCTGCTTCCTCTTTCTTCCGGGTTGGAAGGATTTGTTGTTGATAGGGTTAGAGTTGCTAGAAGAAAACCGTGATGTAGTAGGTGTAGCAGGCAATTCATTTATGACTGGTTGGTCTCCATTTTAAAAGTACTTTTAATAAGAAATTTTAATAGTACAACAGTATATGATATAACAGTTGCTAGGGTTTGCAATGAGTTGTCTTTTCAGTTTCACTTGCTTTGTATAGACCTTTTTTTAGATTGGTGGGGATCAGTATTTGTCACTAGCACACTACATCGATGATAACTTAACTTTTTTTTTTTAATTCTAAAACCATCGACAAAGATATATGTAAACTAATTAATTTCCTAGCTCCATCCTTAATTTAAGCAAAAAGGTAGTTGAATTATGGCGGAAAACTTTGTAATGTAATTGTTTAAATTTCAATAAGAACAAAAGGCTCGGTTAAGACTTTGAAGTTTGCCTTCAGTGCAAAAAATATCTGGAAATTCAAATCGCCTCTTTAATATGCTCCCAGAGCTGGACTGTATAATCCTAGTATTAAAAGGATGAGAAATCTGGTACTACATCAGTTTATATTTCAATCAGAAAACTATGCACACTCAATGTAATTTGAATATTTTAGGTTTAAAGCGATTAATATCTTACAATTTAAATTACCTTCATGATAAACATAAGATAATTTCAATAAAGTTGACGATATAGGTCTACATCCAACATATTAAATTACTTTGACAAAGGGTCTAATTATTTACTTAACTTTCAAGATAAACATCTTAAAATTTAAATAACCTTGACCATGCTGACAAAGATGTGCTCCAAATTTCCCATCTTAGAGCGAGGAATATCTGGCGATTTCAATTACCTTGAAGACAAACATCTTACATTTAAAATAAACAACTTACATGTTCAATTACTTTGACGATAAGCATCTGATAATTACAATTTATCACGATAAACATATCGTTACCTTTACGATGCCAATGACGATGTGCTCAAGCCCAGGCCTGTCAGAGTAGTAGTGGAGGATGAGGGCTCCGTCCTCTGGTCTCTCCGTACATCTGAAGGAAGGCGCTCTCATGCCAGGGTACAGGGTGCCGAGGTGATCGTGGAGAGCGTCAAGGTTCTGAAGAAAAATAAGGATACGTTAGATTGTATGGTAAGTTTGTGTAGTGCCTAGAAGGGTCATTTTAGAAGAGGAACTTTAAAGTTTTCCATAAGAAAATGAAGAGGGAAATGAGTTAGAGGTGGGATGTGGAAAATTACTTAACCTAACATAAACCTTAACTTTATCAACCTAACCGAACCAAACCCTTACTTAGACCTCATTTATTTTACGAGACGAATTTAACAGTAAGTTTTTTTTTAAGATCCCCCTTAAATATATAGGGACATAAATGTATTCAGTAGATTAGATGTGGGTTGAAACGACAACTTGATTATTTTTACACTGCTGATGTAGATACATATTAAAATACCCAAACTACTTATATTAATAACCTAACCAAGCCTGAATTTGTTTGACCACCTTCATTAGATAAGACAAATTTCATATGTGGCAACTAGAATTATTTATTTCCCCAATTATATCCACCTATCAATAAAAAATGTTACAAAATTGTAAAAAAATAAAGAATATTTTCGCAGTAGTTTTATAATCTACTTAACTAATTTACAATCGCGGTCGAAGTAGGGACAAGCTAGTTTATTAATAAAAATTGCATTGATGTATGAAGAAACAAAAGTTTAAAAATGTAATACAAAAGCAAGTTGCAAAATGCATCCACCTAAACTTCACACAAGGTTATGAACTCAATATCAAAGACATAACAGAAATATAAGTTGGTTCAAGCATCGCAACTTTTATCATATCTTCTCAGAATGTGAACTTGGTACGATGTTGTTTTTCGCACTCACAAACTTTGTTCTCGAAAGTTGTATTGCAAAGAGAGAATAAATGTTTTGAACTTGTGTGTTAGACAATATTTTGTTTATTTATTGTAAAATATATAAATATTAAACACAATCTAATATTTATGTTCGCATTTAAATAAGATCAAACACTGTAGGGCCTATTAATGTTTGAATGCATATTCACTATTATGCTCTAGCCTAGTACGGCCAGGGTAACAAATATTAAAATTTTTTAGTTCCAAAAGTTATTTTTCTATTTCCAATATGTTTGCAGTAAAAAAAAAAAATAACTTGCAAAACTATGTAAACAATTGCAAGATTTGGATGTTTAATGCATTTTGGTTCGTTCAAAACGTGCTACTCATGGAACTGTATGCTAACATAAAGTCCACTTAATAGTACCTAGTTAAACCTAAGCCTGTAAGCTTCCACAAAGTAGACGGAAGAGTAGTTGAACCAAAACGAGCTTTTCCTAGAACTGTAAGCTTCCACAAAGTAGACGGAAGAGTAGTAAAACCGAAACGTGCTGTTCCTGAAACTGTAAGCTTCCACAAAGTGGACGGAAGAGTCGTTGAACCGAAAAGAGCTGTTCCTAGAACTGTATGCTTCCACAAAGTGGACGATAGAGTAGTTGAACCGAAACGTGCTGTTCCTAGAACTGTTAGTAAGCTTCCACAAAGTAGACGGAAGAGTAGTAAAACCGAAACGTGCTATTCCTGAAACTGTAAGCTTCCACAAAGTGGACGGAAGAGTAGTTGAACCGAAAAGAGCTGTTCCTAGAACTGTATGCTTCCACAAAGTGGACGATAGAGTAGTTGAACCGAAACGTGCTGTTCCTAGAACTGTTAGTAAGCTTCCACAAAGTAGACGGAAGAGTAGTAAAACCGAAACGTGCTGTTCCTGAAACTGTAAGCTTCCACAAAGTGAACGGAAGAGTCGTTGAACCGAAAAGAGCTGTTCCTAGAACTGTATGCTTCCACAAAGTGGACGATAGAGTAGTTGAACCGAAACGTGCTATTCCTGAAACTGTAAGCTTCCACAAAGTGGACGGAAGAGTAGTTGAACCGAAAAGAGCTGTTCCTAGAACTGTAAGCTTCCACAAAGTCGACGGAAGAGTAGTTGAGCAGAAACATGCTTTTCCTAGAACTGTAAGCTTCCACAAAGTGGACCGAAGAGTCGTTGAACCGAAAAGAGCTGTTCCTAGAACTGTAAGCTTCAACAAAGAAGATGGAAGAGTAGTTGAGCCGAAACATGCTGTTCCTAGAACTGTAAGCTTCCACAAAGTGGACGGAAGAGTAGTTGAACCGAAAAGAGCTGTTCCTAGAACTGTAAGCTTCAACAAAGAAGATGGAAGAGTAGTTGAGCCGAAACATGCTGTTCCTAGAACTGTAAGCTTCCACAAAGTGGACGGAAGAGTAGTTGAACCAAAACGTGCTGTTCCTAGAACTGTAAGCTTCCACAAATTGGACGGAAGAGTAGTTGACCCGAAAAGAGCTGTTCCTAAAACTGTAAGCTTCCACAAAGTAGACGGAAGAGTAGTTGAACCAAAACGTGCTGTTTCTAGAACTGTAAACTTCCACATAGTTGACGGAAGAGTAGATGAACCGAAACGTGCTGTTCCTAGAACTGTAAGCTTCCACAAAGTGGACAAAAGAGTAGTTGAACCAAACCGTGCTGTTACTCGAACTGTTAGTTTCCACTAAGTCGATGGAAGAGTAGTTGAGCTCAAACTAACTGTTGTCAACCTTTTTCTGCAATATCTCTGTACAATAAAATCTCACTCTTACAAATCAATAAATGTTTGAATATTTTATTGAACTTAATAGTAATAGTAGTATAGTTTATTGAACTTATATTTTGAATTATTTTATTGAAATAATACGATCATATTAGACATTTATTTATTCCTTTTTCATGTATACTTGCCTGAAGGAAATCTCGAGGTGTAGCTCCGAGCACTTGCAAGATCTTGTCGTAACCAGAGTCTTGGCAGAACTCGAAAAACATCTTCCCGAAAAGCTCTAGGATTGTGTTGGCAGGGAGATCTGAAAGCACGTGAAGACTTAACAAAAACTACCTTTTAGGAATATATTACAGGACATTGGATTGAACATATCAATAAAGCTAATAATGATCACCAGCTTATAGGAAAACCGTAAGCCGCACACCTATCAACCGCATACTTGAATGCCTTGAAGGTCTTGATGTGAAACTTCCTGGTAAAAACGTGAGTTTTCGATACATCTGTTTCAGTGAATTTTGAGTATATGTTTTATCTATGGTATAACCCATGGGCTACAACTCTTAAGAATCCGTCGGTTTTCAAGGCAGCCAGGAGGCGTTCAAAATACATAAACAGTGTTTTTTGAAAAGGACAAATTGATATCTACGTTATGTTACTTTGACAACACGTTAACTCAATATTCATATTCAAACTTAATTAATCTTATCATTTCATTGAATTTTGAAACAAGTTCTTTAAAGGTAAATTGTTTCATAATGTTCAGCCTTCAACTAATTGCAGCCGAGGGAAGTTCGTCCATAATGCTTCTTACCGGAGATTAACCTGATAACTTAGATCCTTACCTACAAACTTGTTACGTTTACTAAAGTATCCTATATATTAAAACGAAACAGGGTTTTTTTATTTCACGATACTGAATCTACCACTTGACGGATTTTTATGATTTTTGTGTTGAAAGAAAGATAATTTTGAGAACTAGGGAATGTCGAAGCCATAATTTTAGTTTAGGGTTTCAGTTTTCTAGAAATTAAGTTTTAATTTTCAAAAAGTCTAGCAGCCGACGGACGAGTTAAAGTCGTTTTAGTGGTGGTTTAACTAACAGCTGGTTTCTAACTGTCATTGAAATGTTTATGTTACAAGTTGTTTGTATACAAAAATATTGATCGTCAGAGTTTGCCTACACACTATATTACTTTAAAATGCAGTTTATTTTCTACCGTAAAAGATCTATGTTATCAGGAGATTGTGTAATTTTGAACTAAACATTTTAAACGTATAATCAAGTTTTGTCATAAATGCAATCCGTCTAAGTATAAGTGCTTAATCCTTTAAGATATAATTATCCTTTAAGATATAAGTGGTTTACGTGTTGATACATCTTTTTCTAGATGTTTGAATATAAGTATGACTGCATTCAGTACACATTTTATTCGTAATGAAAATGTCAACAGGTGTAGTAGGTCTCCACTCTCCAGAAAACTGACCAGTAGGCTGCAGGGTGTCAGTAGAAACCAAAATCGATTCATACCATATCATAACTATCCCAGTAGTACTGTATGATTCAGAAACTTGATAAAGGGGTACATTCCAAAAGTAGACCGAAAGGCTCGGATCTCGGATGGGCTGGGCAGGCTTTGCATGGCAGAGAGAAGATACTTCAACTTTTAAAAGTGTATTCCAAGGAGTACTACAAGGTAGACGACCACTTGGAAGACCAAGTAATGAAAGACATCTTCATACTGGTATCTTCCTGTCTTCCTGTCATCCAGAAATGGCAGGGGATAGAAATGGCAGGGGATAGAAGAGAACGATTTTTTCATTACGAATAAAATGTGTACTGAATGCAGTCATACTTATATTCAAACATCTAGAAAAAGATGTATCAACACGTAAACCACTTATATCTTAAAGGATAATTATATCTTAAAGGATTAAGCACTTATACTTAGACGGATTGCATTTATGACGAAACTTGATTATACGTTTAAAATGTTTAGTTCAAAATTACACAATCTCCTGATAACATAGATCTTTTACGGTAGAAAATAAACTGCATTTTAAAGTAATATAGTGTGTAGGCAAACTCTGACGATCAATATTTTTGTATACAAACAACTTGTAACATAAACATTTCAATGACAGTTAGAAACCAGCTGTTAGTTAAACCACCACTAAAACGACTTTAACTCGTCCGTCGGCTGCTAGACTTTTTGAAAATCAAAACTTAATTTCTAGAAAACTGAAACCCTAAACTAAAATCATGGCTTCGACATTCCCTAGTTCTCAAAATTATCTTTCTTTCAACACAAAAATCATAAAAATCCGTCAAGTGGTAGATTCAGTATCGTGAAATAAAAAAACCCTGTTTCGTTTTAATATATAGGATAACAATACTCTCGCCTATATTTTCTGTCTTTTACAAAGCGGTTTTAAATCTTCAGGGTTAGATTGTTGAATTTATCAGTAATATAAGTTTCAATTAAATAATTTAGGACCAAAATCTGTAGACCATAAGACCGTAAGACCATATTAGGGTGTATCAAGATCACAATAGAGCAAAAGATTTTCTTATAGCGGTACAATTCAATTAACTTTTGCATATTTAAGGTAATTAACAAGTTCTACAGGACCGCGAAGATTCACTGATAAGTTCCAAGTTTTGCGCCATAATCTCTCCTTTGATCTTTGCGTAACTCGTTACAGACTCGGGAAGTAATTAAAAGTCGACGAGTTCAAAACTCGCGAACCAACTTAGTTTTAACCTGTTAGAAAAGTCTCATTAACAGATTATTATTCGTTCATTAGCTTTTTCTAAGAATTAATTTTGACTTCAGGAATCAAGTTATTTACTGTCGTGAACAAAACTTATTTAAAACTTGTTTTTTAGCCGTTAGGGAAATAGCTTAGGACGCTGTAGAATTCCTTTTTAGAGATAACACTACTTAATTTGAGGTTATTTATCTTCCTTTTTTTAAAGATATTTAAGCATGGATGTATAAGTTGTGGCAATCGAAAAAAGAAAGCTTCTTTCTCTGGAAGTTGATCCGTACCTGGAGATTTATCCAATGGTTTAAGGAAGGCTTGGGCCCAGGTAGACATAGGGTCAGGAGACAGGTTCCCTTATACAGACAATATTACCTTACTTAGTTAATATAAGTATGTTTTCTCCTACTGGGTCGTAAAAAAAATTAGTCGCTACTTTCATAACAAACCTATTCTGGGTTTTTACAAAACCTATTATTAAGGAATTATTAACTTAAACGTAACAGTACAGTTCAATTAAACTGTCTCATATGCCATACCGAACGAGATTTCTATTTTATGCAAATAGCTTTTTGATAAATAACGTTTACTTAAAATAGTCGATAATGTTAAGCTATATAAGTTATTTACTTTCAGATTGAATTCACGCCTCCTCGGGAACCCGTTTAAGTTTTATAAGACCACTAAAGTATACTAAGCAAGCATTTATCGAAACAGTATATTTAAAAATTCACACAACACTATTTAAAAATTCATATATTATTTGAAATTTGGTCCATTTATTTGAAAATATTAACATACCCTACTTAATTAATAAATAACAAAAGTAAAATAAAGGCTTGAAATTTGAGATACACTTGTCTATAATTTATTCAAGGTTTCATTGAGTGACAGATTTCTTCTGCGACATATCAGCTTAGTTGGTGCAACAGTGAACTTTCTAATGGGTTTAAACTTAACCTTTGTTCTTCGAGATATTTCTAGGTATAGATTTCGCAAGTTATCTGGTGGAAGGTATTGTTCCTTAATGCTCGTAGGGAAGTCTATTAAAGGATACAGTCATTAAAGACATTACATTGGAAGACATGTGATTTGTCACCGAATAAACCACGACAAAACATAGTGTGATTTGTAAAGTTAAACAGAAAAAGGTGCTTATATAAGATTAAATATTCATTGAGTGTATAATAAAAAATGTAATGTGCTCTAGCAACATAGTGGAAGTAAGCCAGGTGTACCACAAGGGTGTGTTTTTAGCCCCAAGCTGTTTCCCAATCTTTATAAACACTGTTGGCAGAACATGATGTTGTGGTGATCCTCGGAGTTACCTGGTGATCCACACCTGTAAACACAGTGCTTTTGTCTTGTGTTTTATACCTTCGACAATCCTACATAGCACGTCTTGTAATGTTCAAACTTTCACTATCGCGTTCATCGGTTAAATCAGTGTGAATCGTATAGAGTGTGCTATTATTCGAAGTTTGGAAAGGGTAAAGCTATAAAAGTTCAAGTTTAGTAGTAGTTTTATTATTAATATTTGATCAAATCAACAAAATGAAATGAGAACATGGTTTACTATCACTAATAGATCTCAAGGTATTTAAGCCAACATATCTCTAGAGTTGTTGCTATATGTAGTTGTGGTACAGAAAAACTAAGACTTTCATGGACTGCTTATGTCTTCCTTTCAAGCATTAAGGAACAATACCTTCTACCAGATAACTTGCGAAATCTATACCTAGAAATATCTCGAAGAACAAAGGTTAAGTTTAAACCCATTAGAAAGTTCACTGTTGCACCAACTAAGCTGATATGTCGCAGAAGAAATCTGTCACTCAATGAAACCTTGAATAAATTATAGACAAGTGTATCTCAAATTTCAAGCCTTTATTTTACTTTTGTTATTTATTAATTAAGTAGGGTATGTTAATATTTTCAAATAAATGGACCAAATTTCAAATAATATATGAATTTTTAAATAGTGTTGTGTGAATTTTTAAATATACTGTTTCGATAAATGCTTGCTTAGTATACTTTAGTGGTCTTATAAAACTTAAACGGGTTCCCGAGGAGGCGTGAATTCAATCTGAAAGTAAATAACTTATATAGCTTTACATTATCGACTATTTTAAGTAAACGTTATTTATAAAATACACAAGCTATTTGCATAAAATAGAAATCTCGTTCGGCATGGCATATGAGACTCCTTAATAATACGTTTTGTAAAAACCCAGAACAGGTTTGTTATGAAAGTATCCACTTATTGTTTTTAACGACCCACTAGGAGAAAACATAATAATATTAACTAAGTAAGGTAATATTGTCTGTATAAGGGAACCTGTCTCCTGACTCTATGTCTACCTTGGCCCAAGCCTTCCTTAAACCATTGGGTAAATCTCCAGGTACGGATCAACATCCAGAGAAAGAACCTTACTTTTTCAATTGCCACAACTTATACAACTATGATTAATCATCTTGTCTGTCTCTATAAAAAAAGAGAGATAAATAACCTCAAAATTAAGTAGTGTTATCTCTAAAAAGAAATCCTACATCGTCCTAAGCTATTTCCCTAACAGCTAAAAAACAAGTGTTAAATAAGTTTCGTTCACGACAGTAAATAACTTGATTCCTGATTCAAAGTCTAAATTAATTCTTAGAAAAAGCTAATGAACAAATAATAATCTGTTAATGAGACCATTCTAACAGGTTAAAACTAAGTTGGTTCGCGAGTTTTGAACTCGTCGGATTTTAATTACTTCCCGAGTCTGTAACGAAAGATCAAAGGAAGTGATTATGGCGCAAAACTTGGAACTTATCAGTGAATCTTCGCGGTCCTGTAGAAGTTGTTAATTACCTTAAATATGCAAAAGTTAATTGTACCGCTATAAGAAAATCTCTTTTGCAAAAAAATCTTTTGCTCTATAGTGATCTTGAGACACCCTATTATGGTCTTACGGTCTTATGGTCTACGGATTTTGGTCCTAAATTATTTAATTGAAACTTATATTACTGGTAAATTCAACAATCTAACCCTGAAGATTTAAAACCGCTTTGTAAAAGACAGAAAATATAGGCGAGAGTATTGTTATATTGTGTTATAATAATACATGATAACTTACGAAATCTGTACCTAGAAATATCTCGAAGAACACAGGGTCAGATTAAACCCATTCGAAAGTTCACTGTTGCACCAACTAAGCTGATATGTCGCAGAGGAAATCTGTCACTCAATGAAACCTTGAATAAATTGTACTCTAACATGAGACAGAAATATAAATTAGCAATGCAAATGGAAAGCTTCCACTCAATTGATGAATTATTTTTAGGTGAGGGGTATCAACTCTATTTTCGTGAAAAGAAAAGTTTTCCTCTCCCTAACCCCGCTCAAGCTCTTGTACAAGATACAACCTTCAGTTTTAAAATTCGTGCTAAACAACCCTATCAAGTTGTCATACACTTGATACACTACACTGTCATACACTTGACACACTACACGCTTCGCCGCTGCCATACACTTTATATGGGGAGAACGTGTTTTCATTGATAAACTGTCATACCTTTGTTGATACTTATTCGATTTAAATGCGGTTTTCATCATTGTACTCGCTATACAAGTACGAGGCTTTTGATGCAGTTTTACGTCGGTAAAAACCCCGTTGTCTCATTATTTAAACAAAAAAGTGCTGACTTGATATTTTTGTAGTTAAATTATTATTATTAAGCCTCATTTTATAATACAGAGGCTATCGTATTTACTAAATGTATACTACTTTGGACTTACAAAAAATTAGAAAATTTATTTTTTGTCACAGTTAATTGTACGTCTAGGAACATATTTAGGGACATTTAAGGACATTAGGGAATTCTAGGGACAAATTATGATGGTTCTTGGGAAATTTCGCTCAGAGTTGTTGGTAACACTGTTCACTTCAGTTGTGTTTGTTTTGTTGTTTTGGCTTTTATAGTTATGGCTTCTATAGATATGGGTGGTTTGTTTTACTCATCTCAAGAACTATTCAAATTGGTTAAGTTTTACTATTCCAATTTTAATTGCAATATAACAAAGGAAAAGATGGTAGAGCGTGTTGTGAACATGGCATGCCAGAAGTTTTACAACACTGTTTTCAGAGGTCAAGAAGATATAGTACAGCTGGGGGAAACCCCTCATGCAGTGAAATTGATCAAATATATTGGATATCTGTTCTTCAAAATAACTCTACACCAAGAGGCAAAATTTAAAACTCACAACCAAAATCTAAGCTCTACTGGTCTTTGGCAAAAGTTGCACAAATTAATACTGTTCATCAACACATAGGAAACATGTCTTTACAATTTAATTGTATTGAAATATTATTGCCATAAATTAAATTATTTGATTCGTAAATAACTTGTTTTTTTTCATAACCTGTTTTAAACCTTTTTGTGCTCTTTCATTTGGTACTCCAACCAAACAAATTTATGACTTTGATAGCTGTATGAAGCATATTTTATTACTACAATGATAAATACATGTTAGAACTGAATAACCCATTTTTATGATTCCGTACAGTATTCCATTTACTCACCACGCACGCTAGTGTTTTGTTAGACTTTATTTAAAGTTAAAACATAATCTGAAAAGTATTCCAGAAAAAGTCAACTTATCGAAATTCTAGTTTATTTTGCCATATACATGAGCCAGATATGATGCAATTTTTTCAAGCCGTATTCCCGATATTTAGCATTTTCATTGATCGTCCAAATCATTAATAGTGTAATATAGAGATTTTTAGTAGTGTTCAATGATGATATTTACTATACTTTCACTAGTTGTATGGATCGTTGGGGCTGTAAAAGGTGTAACATCATATCTGTTGGTTCATGTATTTGTAGTGAGGTATTCTCCACTTGTAAGTGAGAGTACTAATAAAGCTAAATAAGGACATACTGACGTAGGTGGTTACATCTTACAAAGGTTTATTTACTCCTTTGGTCTCCTTCACTTTGGTCTCCTGGCGGTGTTATTTAGTTGGTACCATCTACGTGAAGCAATGCGGCGTCGACATCAGACTGACAAAACATATCTTAGTGAACCACCGATGGATTTGTCCTTGCATTTCCCCAGAACCTTTGCGTTTCCTCCGTCGTAGCAAATGTGGTTCTGAGGATAGTTACTGGTCTCAAAGTCGTCTAAATGGTCTAACATCTACATGTCGATGGGAGGGAGGTTATCCACCATGTATAGTATCGGTCTTAACGTACTACTACTGTTGCATTAAATAGATGTTAGAGCTTGTAAATTCATTTACCGATAATTAAACCAATGTAAAATTATCATACCTACAATTCTCAAACGTTTTAGTCCGATTATTTAGGATAGAAACAACTAACAACCCATTTCAATTTGTCCAATTGTTTTAGTCCCTACAGTATGGATACACGCTAAATGATCGCAGCATCTAAATTGCATCTGTACCATTGAAGGCATTCTCCTACAGAATATCAAATCATAAAATGTGTTTATGTCGGTTATGTACATCAATATCTTATGGATTTTAGATAGAACAATTTTATAAAAAGCCTATACTGGAATACACTTTAAAATTTGGAATTAACTCCGGTCGAAGTTTTGGAATGAGTTTTTATACTTTTATTTCAAAAACCTTTGTACATGAAAACATATATTGTTATTCTATTAAATGTTTTGGTCTATACCATGAAAACTGTTTGAAGAATAACGAAAACTGTTACTTACTCAGAATTTTGACAGCTGCTCCAACTAAATTGTAAGTGATCTCGTCCTCGTAAATTTGTCGAACGAGAAACTGGCCTTCCATGTTGACGTCTGCGTCTTTCCTAGAACAAGTACACAATTGTATATTTTCGTTTTAACTTTACAAGAAGTTTCACTATAATTATATCACAACTATATTATTATTACTTGGCATACTTAGGACATCTTTAAGGTAAAAAGACGAAATTACGATAAAAGGTAAGTGGACTTAACAGTATCATAATTATTATTATCAATTGAGATGGGACCTAGATGTGTATTTCAATCCAAATATGAGTGAAGGATGTGTGTAGAATGGAGCGAGATACGTTGTGCAGCTTGTTCTGACTAAGGTCAGCTGTTACACCAGAACTAATTATTTAAGCCCAAATGACCAAGAACAGCTGGGTTCAATCAATGAATAATTCAATTTCGGCCCAACGAAAATGTATACACTTTTCAGGATCAAACCGGTGTACTTTATATTACCAGGTGAACATTTTTACCTCTGCTACCCCAGTTGTATACAATCATTGACTATACACAGAATAGACTTCCCAAGTAATGTAATAGCTATTTACCTTACAAGTGTAGTAAGAGCGTTTTTACACGCTCTTGCGTAACGTGTAACGTACAAGATTTTACCTGACCCGACAATATACAGGAGGTTACGAACAATATTTTTCATTATCCATTTCACTCATCTTCTAACAATAAATTTACACGTTCATTTACAAACAAAAGCTAGGTTAGAAAAATTCTTGAAAGCATAACAATAAAATTCAAGCGCACAGCTGATTTCTAGCGTTGAACGTCGTTAGCTTCATAGAGGTATATTTTCTAAGTTAAGCACTCAATGTTATTTAAATGGGTTTCATTACCTCACCGAGTGAGTTTTCCCAACTTTACATCACTCGAGAAGTAAGGAAGTTGTATACATCACGTTTGGGATAGGGAAGTTTAACATGGCGGGTTAGGTAAAAATCTGAAGCCAAAAAACGTAGTGCAATCTATTGAGATGGTTTAACTAATGACAATATTCTATGTTAAGTGATAAATCAATCAGCTGTTTGCTATGATACTGCATTGTTTTTAATTAATTACACATGTTGTAAATGTTGTAACCCATTACACTAGTAAACTCTGGTGAGATGGTCCTGAAATTCATCTATTTTCTAGACTTCAAATTTTTATATTACATAGGAAGTCTATTCTGTATATAGTCAAATGATAAAATACAAATTTGAAATATACGATAGTTGTTTGCCCTGAAAGTATTGATAAACGTTGTACTTGAATTTTGAAACCTTATTGGCACTCATTCAATATATCTTAATCTGATTTCCTTTGTTTCAGCAACTGATTGCCTAGCTTAGAGATTTAAAGGGAAATAACCCAATAAAATGAAACTCGATACACCGTAGTTAGTTAGGTAATAGCTTTTGCCCCCATCTGGTAAATGTCATTGGCTAAAGTGACTTTCCCCAAACTTTGATCAGGTCATCTGCTTTGACCGAGTGTTTAGTAAACATTGAGTTCGGCGCTTTGATTTACATTTTCGTTTAATTTCTTGTCAAAGATGAAAGCATAGATTGCGAAATATCATACAACCTTCATAACGTTCAAATCGTTTTTCAGTTTATTTGATTATGGTATTGGGCATTTTTAATAATGGTATTTGTGTGTAACTAATTTAGAAACATCGATCGTAATTATAAACATTCATATTTAAAACAGGAGTGTTTGTAAGTTTCTTTTATTTACTTGATCAAATAAAAGAAAGCTACAACATTTGGTGTTACCCTTAAATATTAAAACTACCTTTTTCAATTTTGTTGACGATTTAAGAAATTTTGCATATCAAAAAAATTTTGAAGTTTAATACTTTATGATAATCATACACTAAAAAGTAACAAAAAGACTACGCAAAAGAATTTCAGGCATTGTTGTGATTAATTTGTTTTACAATGGCATTTCTAAATCCAATGATCATTCAGAGATTTGCCTACACATATTCTTACAGTCTCCCTCCCTCTTAAGAAAACTGATTTATGAACAAAAAATTTCTTGTTCTTTATACTTTCGAATCTAATAAATATTTGTTCTGATACTTCAATTAAAAATATTGAATTGAGTAAGGTAATAACGGTACATCCAGCCCCTTAAGTTTTAGAGTTAATTTTCCTACTACTAGATATTAAAGATTTTAATTATTAAATATAAGGTTCAATATCCTATCAATAATTTTAACTATGTTTCATCTGTGCTCCCAGAACAAATACTCGTACTATATCTAACTAATTTTGTATTAGGCCTACAACACTTTTGTCTCAGAATGGTTTGACCAATAGATAAATCAAACAAAGAACCATATTGCTCTTAAAATTACATGACTGTAATCTAGTAGTTTTAATGTTTCAGAACTTGGTATTAAATTTTAAAATCATGTGTATAAACAATGTTCTTCCAGGATCCAAGACAAGGCAATTGCCTTTAGAGGCTAGCTTAAAAAGATAAATGATCAGAGAGTAACTATCTAAAGCATTATTGCCTCTTAGAGCCTCGCACGTTGGTTAATTTATTACTTATGAAACCGAAAGTTTAAGCTTTATTGATTCTAGACATAAATCACAAACTGAACAAAATAAAAACTAAAAAAGTATGAATAAAACCTTAACTGAAATACGCTCGTATCACTTGTTACATTCCTTTTGATTTTTTAACGTATTATACAATTTAATTTACTACATAGTGAATCCCGTAAGGTGTCTACTACTAATTTCAGACAAGCTGTTTGACATACAATGATAAGATGAATGTTTTTCCAATTAACCAACCCTAAGGAATAACGTAAACTAATTTGAATGTTTTCTTAATGCTGGATATTCCGAAACCAGAGGTTCACTAGTTTGAATCTCAGTTGTCAAATACAAACTCATGTCATAGTATGCATAAATTTAAATGCCTTTTGAATGCAAAAATCTTTGTTTAATCAGAATTTGACTATTTAAAGTTAAATTTGGTTTAAAAATGTCGGCTATTTGTTAAAACGTTTAAACTATTTTGAATTGCCTACCTTTTATTTCTTTAATGTACGGATATCTGTATTCTGATTGTAATGTAATATTTCTTATTAACTAAGCTTTACATTGATATTAAATACTACAATAATATCACTTAAACTAGAATTACAAAAATAATCATAGCTACATGGCTAAAACTCAAACCTTTCAAAAGCATCCAATGTTAACCAGTATACAACTAGAGGTCAAATCCTAGCAGCCTAAATCTAAAATGTATCCGGATTTCACATAGTGTTTTAGTTATGAATTAAAAATATATTTCTCCATATTAAACTTATGTTAATTGCAAATATATATATATATATATATATATATATATATATATATATGTATACTACAAGAGTATATATATACAGGGTGATTAATATCTTTTTAACTAAATCCGTTAGAAAAGTCAAACTTTTAACATCAACTTACATGTATAAAAACTACTTGTTCCAAGCATTTTCATGTTTTTACCTCCACCAGGGGACGACCCGTAAGGAGTAGGTACAAAATCTTTAATGTAAGCATAGGTTGATATGCACACCATTTTAAAGGTCTGGTCAAGTGGAGTTCATTTCCGGAAACCGCATCTCAAAAGGTTCATTCGTTACAAAATGGCGGCATTTCAAATTTCTTGTGGAATATACCTTTACAGGCCTTAATATTGGTAAATACTCGTATTAAACATTATCTTGAGAGCTGAAATTGTATTTTAAAGTCAACTAGCCCATAGACTAAGTTTATTCAATCTTCAAAACTAATTTAAACGGGTTTCAGATTTCCCGGCTAATTTTGACTATGAGTATTTACCATTACTAAGGCCTGTGCAGGTATATTCCGCAAGAACTTTGAAATGCCGCCATTTTGTAACGAATGAACCTTTTTTGACGCGGTTTCCGGCAATAAACTCCACTTGACCAGACCTTTAAAATGATGTGCATATCAACCTATGCTTACATTAAAGATTATGTACCTACTCCTCGTGGGCCGTCCCCTGGTGAAGGTAAAAAAATGGTAATACTTGCAAAAAGTAGTTTTCATACATATAAGTCGATGTAAAAGGTTTGAATTTTCTAACGAATTTAGTTAAAAAGATATAAAGCCGTTTCCAGACTTTTTTGTCACCCTGTATATACATATACATATACATATATATATATATATATATATATATATATATATATATATATATGTCACGGTTTCTAAGGAGAAATTCAGGGCACTGCAATCACTCTTGTAAACCAAGTGTCCGCTCTCTTGACTTTAACTGGAATTTCAAGTTATTAATCTAAAGTTTTGATGGATGAGTTGCTTTCAGGGGACTCCGTGAAAAGTGTTTATCTTTTAACAAAAAGGAAGTGTTGGCACCGATAGCTGGAAAGCAATTTAAGTTTACAAGCGTTGAAAATGTTTCAGATCTAACAAACATATAGTAGTCTAAACAAACCACTGCATGGCCATAATAGTTAGACTAGAGAGCAAATATCCTGTGTCTATGATTTTTTTTATTTATCGTCCCACATTTACAAGTTTTACACTTTATTCAGGCGGTCGCGTCATTATCACATGGATAAAATCCATTGGATATTGGCAGGATTTGAACCTAGGACCTTGGTGTCTGAAGACGTGAGCTAACACTAGACCCACCCTCCCCCTCATGAGCCCTCTGTATCTACAGTCAACTATAACAGTGTTTTAATGCATCGAAGTAGTTTTTTAATCCCTTAGGTAAATAAGAATCATGAAGTTGAGGAAGTAAACTTTAAAAATTATCACTCGTTAAAATCCGTCCCCTGATTATGCCAGTTGATTGATCCGATTTCAAAACCGTATTTTTATATGTATGAAATATATTTGTATTTGTTTATCGCTACGCCACATAGTATAAAATACCTCATAATCGACATTGAAACTACTGCACCGTTAAAAAATGTTTTGTTTTTTGTTTCTTTGGTTAGCAATGTCTTCTTGTTCACTAAAAACTAACTATATTTATAGAACACGGTTGATTTTGA